CAAAATTAGCGGATAAGAAGGATGGAGCGAAAGCAGAAGGGAAGCCTTTAGATTGTGGCTCAACTATAAAGAACCCCGAAGTATCACGTCTCGTTCACAGGGGATGTTGCCTCCGAGGCATTCGCCGCAATCTTGTCTTATATATCCTAAGGGGTAGGGTGACAGTCTAGAGGAGGGGAGGCCCACGAGTTTGGTGCCGCTACTGAGGTAGTTTTACCCTGCGATGGATGAACTTGTTTCGATAAGTAGACCTAAAAAAGAGGTGTTGGACCAACCTCGAGGGTCAATAGCTGATCGATTGAATAGAAAAGTATATTCCAGCCGTGACAGAACAAGCTCTAAATACTCCAGATGGGTGCCACAGTGCCAAGACGTCCAGGATATAGCCCAATTGGGCTGGTCCAACAAGAGATTGTCCCGAGCGTTGGAAAGCAATATAATAACCATATCTCCCATGAAGCACTCGGCTTTTTGAGAAAATGCTGTTGAAGGGTGACCAAGCTTCACCTATCCCAAAGCCAGGCCAAGGAGCTTTCCTCTCGGACTCCCTGTGCGTCTTCTTTCACCCGTCCGTCCGCCCACAACTTGGCACGGTAACCCCTATACGACCTTAATGCTCATGTTGCGAGGAGTGCATGGCTTCTACCATTCATAATCATTTACCATGACCAATTACCAATATTATGAACCAGGGATGATCAATCGATTTTTATAATCTCCACTTGTCAAACCATTTACTCGGGGGAATACCTGTGTCTCAGCCACCTATCCCCCCTTACATGGCTTCAGCATCCGTCAATTTGCGCCATTTGACAGTATTCGCAAGCATTGTCCTAAAGGCCAGGCTAGGCAAACCAGGAACTGACCTCCATGCTGACCTTTGGGCAGGTCGAATCATCTAGATGGTATAAGACGCTCGGCGAAACCAAGCAAGCCTGTTCCAGATGCAGAACCATCATCCTTTTCCGAGACAGCCATGACAGTATATACAATGGACCACCTGAAGCTCGCCTTACAATTATTCCTCAGCTTTTCTTTGGCTAGCGATATCTCCCTCCAAGCTTTTCCATCCCCTGATTGTGGTGAGAACTCCATTATCAACGTTCATGCCAACGCAGCAAAACCACCCAGCCGTCGCTATATGCCAATACAGTAGCATCAACATTGCCAGTGTTGATCCAGGCTTCAAGTGCAGCCTCTAACCCGAAACAACCTGTAAAAACTTCCTTCAGGAATTTGACAGCACAGAGAGCCAGAACGTTATCGTGTCAAGCATCGTCCGTTTCAACCATGGATTATTCGACAACCCTCTTGCTCAGTCTCCGGCGGTTGTAACCCTTGGCTCATCAAATATCGCCGCAATGACAGGAGGCGACACTACTAATTTTGCGAAGAACGCGATTAGCGGCGCCCGTGGCGGTACCAGTTGTGATGAAAACAGCAAATCTACAGCCTCGTTCCAGAGGAATGCTGCTTGCGGCCCACCTCTTATATAGGTTTGCCATTCAGCACTCGCTTTCATGAACAAAAGTGCAGCCAGGGTGTCACGCGGATGGGAAACCACGATCACACCGATGAGCGAGAATACATGAGCGCGCTGATACATACAACTATGGCGAAAGCAACGGGAAGAGGTGTGGGCATCCGAACCAAGCGGCTCTGGTCAACATACTTTCCTTTGTTCAAATAGTGATTAACGATCAAACAGGGGGCTACCAGGCAGAGGTGACACTCTCCATCGACGCCCAATGTTCGATTGTCAGCCCAGCCGACTTCGGCTGTGATGGCCCGCTGGGCACCATCACGAGTGCGGTTTTGGAGGCGGTTCCTTGAGTAGGCGAGTTCATCGCACCGGTATTTGATATTACCTGCGAGAGACTGGGTAGTTAATACGATCGGAACCAACGATTACATTGCCTCTTGATCCATGCTTATTGTACTTTTCTATTACTCGAAGACATCAAACTGGTCCTACCCCCTGGCCCTACCCCCTGGAGACATTGTTCGGTATGATCCTTAATACTGTCCCTGGTTTGACCGTAGACTATACTGGCTTCGCAAGAGATAGATCCAGCGTCGCTAGGAACCAATTTCCATCATTTCCATTCCCAGTCCTTAAACTCAGGGAGTCAGAATAGGTTGTTCCAGTTCGGCATTAGTCTCGTCCCACTCCGGGGTGAGCTGTGATCAGTTTTCACTCCCCTTGTCCCATCATTTCCACATTGCTACGAAATACTTCGCTAGGAAGACTCTGCTCTCTTGGAAGATTGATCTTTCCCTCCTCTGGCAACCTTCCATCGTCGGTCTCACCGGTGACGCCCTACCCAGTATCTGGCACGGTGTTGGCACGAGCACAGTATTCCTAAATGCCGGATTAGGACTAGTGGAACCTCGTCTGCCTATCATCTGCCACGGGCTCGTCGCCACATTCTTTAGATACTCCTCCACCATGTACAAGTACAATTCAAATCTCGATGTGCGTCATTGGGTTGGTTCGCTAGGGGATCTCTCAGCGCGCGTGCCGTGATACTATCCCGCGCGTCATTCCGGCCAGCTTGCTTCCTTGAACATCGATTGCCATCTACAACCTCTGACTCTGACTCGCGAGCTCCTATTCAGGCGGGCAATCTTGGTAATCATGCCTGATCTTCAGGGCGCGAGGAGTGCGGGGAAGTGGAGCAGGATCAGCAACCCCGGACAAGGGTGTACCCAAGTACAGTACCTTCCACCCCGGGCGATGGGGATTACTCCGCAGAGTATACTTATCCTCGGCTATGTATCCAGCCGGACGGTTCAGATAAATGCACTACTCTCGGGGGGTAAGGATTCAGTCCGCACATTCTGCGATTACTCCTTGAGGCTTCACCGGGCATCTTTCGCTGCAAATAGTCATCATGGCAGCAGTCACCTCCGAGACGAAGGGCGACATTGTAAATGGGACGACGGGCGGCGCGGGTGTCGACTACGATGCCTTAGTCATCGGTGCTGGTTTTGGCGGGATCCGGATGCTGCACGAACTGGGCAAACGTGGTCTTTCCGCCAAAGCATTCGAGTCGGGATCCGGGGTCGGCGGAACATGGTACTGGAACAGATACCCAGGAGCCAGAACGGACAGCGAAAGCTGGGTGTACATTCTCACCTTCTTAGAAGAGTTGGGAATGGATTGGGACTGGAAGGAACGCTTTCCCACTCAGCCAGAGGTGGAAGTCTATCTCAACCGCGTCACAGATCACCTCGATCTCCGCAAGAAGATCGAATTCAATACCCAAGTCACAGCAGCACACTGGGATGAATCAAAGAATGTGTGGAAAATTACAACGTCAAAAGGCAACACATACACTTGCACCTTCTTGATTACTGCGACAGGGCCTCTCGCCACCCCACTAAAGCCCCCTTTCCCTGGGCTCGAATCCTTCAAAGGTGAATGGTATCAGACAGGGCTCTGGCCGAAGCACAAAGTGGACTTCGCGGGGAAACGTGTCGCTGTCGTGGGAACCGGCGCCACTGCCGTCCAAGTTATTCCTGTTGTTGCGCACAACGCCAAAACTCTAACTGTCTTCCAACGGACACCGAATTATGTCCTCCCAGCACGCAATCATCCACTCACCGAGGACCAGCAGGTTGCACTGAAGCGTGAATCTGAAAAGGTCTTGAAAAGAGCCAGAAGCCAATCTTTCGGGATGGACTTTGTCGATGCTACGCTCAAGTCGACAGACCTGGAAACTGAGGCCGAGATCCAAAGAGTCCTCGAATTCGGCTGGGAAATCGGCGGATTCCGATTCATCTTCGAAACGTTTGCTGACATGCTGACCAACGCTAAATGCAACGACATGGCAGCCGAGTTCGTCCGCAACAAGATTCGATCAATCGTCAAGGACAAGAAGACTGCAGAGCTGCTTTGTCCACATTACACCATCCTCTCGAAGCGGCCACCTCTTGGCCATTTTTACTACGAGGCATTTAACCGAGACAATGTTGAGCTGGTTGACGTCAAGGACGACCCAATCCAGGCCATCACTCCAAATGGTCTCCGCACCGGCACAAAGGAGTACGAGTTTGACATGATCATCTTCGCTGTCGGGTTCGACGCCATCACTGGAACACTCGCGCAGATCGATCTCCGCGGAAGCGAGCACCAGCTCCTCGCGGAGCAATTGAACAAGGACATGGCGACAGCGTACGGCATCACTGCCCCTGGCTTCCCTAACCTTTTCATGGTGTCTGGGCCTCAGGCCCCATTTGCAAACATTCCGGTCATCATCGACAATACGGTGGACTGGATCGGGAAGACCATTTCCTTTATGCGGTCGAATGGCTACGAGCGGATTGACACAAAGGAGGACTTTGCGAAGAATTGGAGCGAACAGGTAGAAGCCGCCTTCAACGCCACCGTGCTTCCCGAAGGCGCAAAGGAGACACGCTCGTGGTACATTGGAGCGAACCTGGAAGGGAAGACGGTGAGGCCGCTGTTCTGGTTCGGCGGCGTTGGTCCGTACTTCGCTCACTGCGAGAGGGAAATCACTGAAGGATATCCAGGATTCGTGTTCTCGTCTCCGGGGCAAGCGAGTCGAGCTAGGCTTTGATAGCATGATGCGTGAGGCTAAAATCCCAGGAGACATCGCTGTTAGATGACAGCATTCGCCCACAAGTTGCGCCGCGCACAGCTTCGAATACGGCTCAGTAAACCTGGCCTTATGCAAGATGGAGTTTGGAAGCGCGCATGGCCATCCAGGGTGTTGAAGAGCACGTACATCAGTGAGGGAAGGTTTCGAAAGACCTCTCTCGGTTCTCATATCCAAGGCAGTGGCGCATTATGTGTAATTTTCAATAGTTTTAAACAACTGGAGCATCTCCGGTCTAATTGAATATGTTTGTCTTTTTCTTGGTACACCAGATGCTGCACGGCCGATACCAAAAGTCAACCTGCTCAGTTGCCGTAATGGTTCCATGTTGCAGAACGCATTTGGGCCCTTTCGTCTGTCAAACAGCCCAACTTCTGCCTATACCTTGGTAACCACGATTCCAGCCTTCTCTTCCCAGATTGCTTCGCGCGCTTGTTGCACATCCACACCTCGCGCATGCAACACTGTTACCCAGTCTTGGAAAAACATAGACCCACTCTCGAAGAAGCATGGATCGTGAGTCTGCTGTTCGATGAATCGTTCTACGTCTGCGCGACTGACTGCATTGTCGAACAACCACAAGATCTGTGCAGGTGAAAACTTCAAGAATGACTGGATCAAGTAGAAGTTCTGCAGATCACTGCCCCATCCTTGCATGTGCCTAATCCGGAGTTCCTGGACGGTTGGTTTGTGTAAATCACCATCAGAGTCGCGAGAGCTGTGGAAAAGATCATTGAAAATTTGCGGAGTGGATGCGACGGGACGGAGGTACGGATACTGCAGTGAAAGATGGAATTTCTGCGCGTCTTCGGGTACCCGCGAATATACTTCTCCATCGGTGGGACAGATTTCGGTGGCAAGCAACTGTTCGAGCAAACTGCGGAAATCCTCCAGCTCAAAGAGTTCGTCGTTCGACCACGTACGCAGAAGCTGAAGTCGCTCTGTCGTGGCTGTGGCATCAGTGCGCGCGGTGCGATAAGGAAATTGATGAAATGCTTTGGCGTAGCTCCATAGCCTGTAGACTGCGCGTCGCAGTCGACGAGCTTCGTGGCGATCCAAAACTCGTCGGTTGACACTCTCCGCCTCTAGCCACTTGAATTTGGGGAATATATCAACATAACTCTGTGCTACGCGAGCAACAGCAGTGACTTGCGAGAGCAAGGCAAAAGATAGAGGTGGAGAGCGCCGTAGATGCAGCATTTGATTGTTGTTCTGGGTCAAGAGTTGTATAATATCTTCGACTGGTCCATCTGTTTCGTCTATTGTGCTGAAGAAGAGTGCCAGTTTTTGCGATTTGGGTAGGATTTCATAGAAGTAGCGACAGGTCAGAGAGAGACTTATGATGTCTGGGACGGAGGAGAGTGATTCGAAAATGCGGACGAGAAGTTCTGGGGCGAGATATTGTAAGGCCATGATTCTATGCTATCAGCCAAAGCTCTGAGGGCGGGGCAGGGACAACATACAGATTCTGTTGAAGTCGGACAGTATATAGGTGGAGGAGAGCATACAAAGCGCAGCTGAGAGGCTGCTATCACTCAGTGGTCTCAACAGGCTGAGACCCCAACCTTGGGGCTATCCAAGACAAATAACATGTATGAGTGTGCGTTCATGGAAAATGAGGTGTCAATTCGCCCCAAGCCGCTCTGCCGCGGAGTGCGGCGGGCGTGCATCGTTTCCATCATCTGAGGGATAGATGGAAGGGCGACGCTTTTCGCTTGCGCAGTTGATGGGTAAGAAAGAAGGAGATCAGTGTTGCTCTACACGCATGAGGATGAGAAAGCGGTCTAAGGCTTGGCAGGACATTGTCGCCATCCCACGTGATCATCGTCAGGGCAATAGGTTCCCCCTTTTGCCCCTTTTTCTTCCGCCTCGATTGAGTTCTGTACCGAGTACCAGGTACTCCTTGGCGCAATTATTGTGCATGTCTCCTTCCCATCAGTGATCCTGGTAGCCTGAATCTGGAAATCCTTTAGAGCACCTTCTTTAGCCAATCCCATATCGCATGAGACATGGTCCCATGCTCCAACCCTGACTGAGCATCAAGCATACAATCGATATGCACCTGCTTGGGACACTCGACTGCCTCCACATTTAAGCCAGCCTCTTTCAGCTTCTGGCAGACCTCCCTAATATCATCGTAAAACAGCTCGTGCGTCCCGGCCAACGCGAGGATAGAAGTGACCGGCGTGCCAGCCCACCATTTCGAGTCAGCGCGAGCCGGGTCCGAAAACTCGCCACGTTCGTCGTCGGAAACGAGATTGCCGACTAGTTCGGGGATGATGGTCGTGGAAACGATGTCCTTGTCCTGGTTTTCGATCCACGATTTGCTGGTGCCGACGGAAAGATCGACCCAAGGTGAGATGAGGAGCGCGCCTTTCAAGGGAGAGTCGAGTTCTAACGAAGGGATTCCGGGATGGGAATGCTTTGTCGCGGAGAGGATCCCGAGGGTCAAGTTGCCGCCGGCGGAGTCGCCGCCGATAATGACCTGCAGAGGTTGTTAAAATAGCATGTTCTCACTTATTCCTTCCAAGGGTGACAGCAAGATGTCTCTTACATCTGACGGCTTGCGACCAGATTGCAAAACAGTCTTTAGAGCTTGTACAGCCTGTCGATATTGCGTCGGAAATCGATGTTGAGGGGAGAGGCCTACAAGACGGCCAAGTTAATCATCAATGCGTTTTGCTCACGGCATTGGAGTGTCCGTTCTCACCATATTCAACGAAGGCAATAGAGAACGGTTTCCCCTCCTTCGCTAGTCTTTGTTGCGTATCCACCAAGAAAGCAATATGGCCTGGCATAGCTGGAAGGCCGAGGCCTCCGCCTAATGATAGGTTCGAACGTCAGCTATACTTAGCAACGTTATGGAAGCAAGACCAAATTGGGGTTCTATGGATACCATGAAAGTACAAAATCGCGCTCGGAGCAGAACTATCCCCGATCCAATGCACTTTCGCACCATCACTGTCTGGGACGTCTTCAGCCTTCACCGTTTGACCTAGCCGCACGCACTCGGAGGTGACGATGTCCTGCGTAGGTGCTGAAACGCTCAGTGCGGCTTCAAGGGAACTCATGCCGCCACGAACTGCCCGGTTGCGCTCATCATGGGCTTGGGAGCGCGACATGGTGAGTAGGACTGGGTATGCTAGATTGGATTTGTATTCAAAGAACCACGGACTGTCTGTCTTTTGTTCCTCAAGCGTGATGAGTATCGGGAATGGATTTCACCCAACCACTTCATTCCAGCATCCGGCAAGGACAGACAACCACAGCTGCACTCGGTCGTTCATGTCGTGGAGGAGAGGCCAAGGAATCAGGAACCGGACAAGGTGGAGATGGATGTCCCTTTTCCCGAGGTTCACAGGAACCCCGTCCTCTGGATTTCAATTCGATTCCAAGAAACCTTGTCCCCTCTTCCCATGGGCCCAGCCTGTGAGAGAAAGAGAGTCTCGGAGGAGCTTTTCGGTTGCGGACTGCCGTCGGTGGGGGTGATTTAGGTGATCGCAGTTCAGTCTAGGTCTCCTTTACACATAGGCTACGCAACAGTCCAGTCTACTGGCTGCGAAATAGGTACTGCAACGTGGCCTAGAGAATCTGGGTGTACGGTATCATACCCAATCTTCACGAGCTTGGTAGTCTTTCCCTGCTGTCTGCCTTGAAGGATGAGGCCATGGGTATTGGGAACTCCCTTCGTCAAGCACACAGCGAACGTGTCAAAGACTTTGGGTTGTGTGGCGATCCACTCGGACAATATTGCTTCCTGGGACTCGCTATGCCTCAATCCCTAGGATCCAAGCATGACTAGACAATCATAAAGCACAGCGTGTTCTTTATTCGAGCCGAATGTTGCCGCTTGCAGTATGCGCACGTTCCCATCGAGCTGGATTTGCCAGTACCACATGGCGGTGTACCTCGGCGGGCAGCGGACCGCATTCTGTAACGCGAGGCTTCCGCGTTCTCGAATGGTAACATGGTTCCAGCCAGTCTCGAGAATGGATTGAATAATTCCAAGGCGAAGGCAACTCATTCGAAGCAAGCCAGAAGTCGGCACCGATCTTGAGAGCCGCCTCACGTAGAAATTCCAGAGGGTACATGTGCAATACTAGGTCGTTATTCTCGACGCTAGGTTTGACTTTGAACCATTCGGTGATACCTAGGCTGGACATCATGGCTTCTGCACGACCACGTCGTCCAGCTGTGCAGAAGCGTCCATTGGTTTGGATAAGAGGATCAACCCTGGACCCCAAGCTTCGAGAGAACAGATGAGTTTTATCGACAACAGCTCTCAGCTGGCGAGGTCCAGGAGGACACTCATCTTCAAGGCTGTCTCTAACATGGATTCTCATGAAGGGGTGGACCGGAGAGTCTTGAACTCCATGCGTTTTGATGAGAAATGAGCCTAGAATCTGGGTACCGTATGATCGCAAATCCCAGACGATGTCGTTGAAAGCAAAAAGCTCTTCCAATGATATTGGTTCGCCGCCCACGTCGCAAAGAATGTTCCAATCTTTGTTTGCAAGGACCATGTTAGGACGAAGATAAGCCTCCTGTAGCGTCTAAACTCCGGAAAACCAGTCAGAGGGTTCGAAATGATAGTAGGGAGCAATATATCCTCTTCTATTCTTCCACCAGCCGTGGAGTCTCTCCGTAGCTTCGATCAGGCTCCGCTTCCATGGAGGGTATCCGAAAGTTGGCGCCGAAAGTCTTGTTAGCTGCAGCGGTAGGTCGCAGCCGCGTTCAGCAGCTTTCATAAGACTTTTTGCCTCACACATACTGGGCTGACTGCTCAAGACAGCATACTGAGCACTAAGCCATCCAAAGTGTGCAAAATTCCCGATCTAGTGGTCGATGTAGTTCAGCCACGCAACGGATGCGGTGGCGTTTTGAAAATTGACAGCTTGTTTAGCGATCTCTTCTGATACTATCGAAGCAAATGCCCGATCGTCGGCTTGTTGCGGGATGCAAAACAGATCGAACCAGATATATGCGGTTGAAAATCGACCCTTTAAGCCGAAAAAACGTCTGGGAGACCAGCCACATGGAACCTGTTATTGAGCGACACCTGCCACGGGATGCCGGGGATGGATATACTTTCGGGCTTTCTCCATCTCCCCAGGTGTGTGAGACGCATGTGTATTTGGCTAGGAGAATGTCAATGTATCCACCGTTTGTTTCGACTCGATGTGCCAGAGATACCTTGGAAATCCCGAGCGAGATCTGTCACGCTTCAGCCACAGACAATAATCCATTCTTGGAGTTGGATTCTCGAAAACGGAGCATTCGTCGCAATTGTCCAATCCTTGGTACCAACTGAGAGATGTGAACTTCCACGAAATGCGCTGCGCGGTTCTTGCCTGCCACGCCAGTCGCCGGCTCTCGTCCAGGCCATGGAAGAGCATGTCTTTGAAAACTTGTTTCGAATTCTCTACCGCTGCAACCCAGTGAGCAGGAGAAAATTCTTCTCGGAACAAATCCGCCATGCGTGTCTGATATAGTGTTCGGTGTCTGACTTCTTCACTTGCCAGGTGCGAGTCTCGAACACTTTGACCTTCAAAGGCGAGGGATCCAGGTCCATCAATGTAGAGCCAGTGGTAAATTTCTTGCACCATCCCTCTATCTCATACGCGCTGTGCGACCACTCCCGCAACATCAAAAGGGAATAAAACTGGGGGGTAGAAAGAAAGACTCGGAGCCCCCGGCTTCGTAGTATCCTTTGACCCAAGATCCTCCACCTCCTTCCAGACAGCTGCGGCAATGTTCCAGGTACTCTCAACGGAAAGAGGTTCGTCGTTTGCCCTTAGACGTCCGATTTCCGCTTCAGTCCTTTCGCTTTGGTTACTCTTCATGAGGAATAGTATCCTTGGGCCTGCTGAGCAGCGGGTCCGCATCGGGCGCTATGAACTTTTTCCACTCGCCACCAGATTCTGCTCCGTGGCCCACGCCGCCACTCCTGTTCGAACCCTTTGATGCCCGCGGCCGCTGGGTGGAGACGTCCGCGCTTTCAGACTCCATCAGCGCTGAAGCATTTCATGAATAGTCGCAACCGAGATGCATAACACATGGTTCGGTTAGTCCGAGTCTGGAACGCACGTTAGGCTGCGCCTATGCTCGGGAGTGGAACCATGAGGAGCATGACGTTCTCTTATAAGGACCGGTAATGTTCAACGGAAAAGCGCTTGAGCGTATTGGGATATCGGTAATACGAAAGAGTCAATCAAAAAACGTGCAGGATGGCACTTTTCCCTTGTAGTGCATGGCGGGTCAGGAGTGGAATAGGTGAGTTGGGAACCAGCGAGCCAGGTTTCCTCCTTGGCAAGGCTGCAAGGCTGCAAGGCTGAGTTTGGTCATTCGAGATCCCGTCCACGTTTGGAAACCATTGCTTCCGAAGCAGTGTATCTGATGGCAATTATGAGTAATCCCCTTTCCGGAACTCTAGCCTCACACTATATATGGCCGACAAAGAGCGCCGCCGGCGCGGATTCGTTGCATTAACTGTTTTCAGCTCCTCTGACATCTTGGATTGTATTCCCTCGTCGCCCAAGGCTTTACGTCGTCTGGTATATGGGAAATACCAGGTTGGTCTCGAGCTCTGTTTATCAACGATCGAACATCTCAAGGAAGAATTTATTTGCTTGTGGGTGCAGACGTCGTTTCCGCGCCCTTTTGTGATCGACAGTCCTCCTGCAGAAGATCGCAAATCTTCTAAAATTCAGGGGTGCAAGCTTCTTCTGGTCGGTAATCTTCGATGAATATCAGAATCATCTCATGACAGAAGATATTCGACAACCGTGGTGGCTTGTTGTCACCAAAATAGTACTTCTGTGAAGTATCAAGTATTGTGGAGTCTTCCCAGGTCGCTTGGATGTTTAATCCGACCGAGTGAAGTCTGGCGGCAGGTGTGTCTGAACTGTACTGCGACAAGTTTGGAAGGACGAAAGAGCCCTTCGCAGGGCCGGTGCGAGGCTGATTTCCGCCTCTTGCTGGTACGATGACAGACTTGCAAACGGTCTTGTTCACCCAAACAGGTTCGCATTGTCGAGTGCGGATCTCTTTCTCTTCGACCCTGTATTCAACCCCAATGTTTTCCGCTTGACTGCTAGATCTTCAGCACCGCCTCTTCGACTTGCGTATTTGTTGGCCCTTCGCATCCTTGTCTCGGCCCGGAGTGCGTTAGGACTGACGAACTGTTTATTTTCGAATATGACTGGACCCCCGAAGCTTCCTTCTAGGATGACAACCGGTGTGAGGACAAACCGAGGCCCGATCTCAACCAGCGAAATGTCGTCTCCTTTTACACGCTCTTTTTCGGCCTTATCTGGTGCCGACTCACGAATCTCGTACACGCGGATCCAAATCTTTCCATCAAGCCCGTAGATCCCAATGACACGATCAATGAAGGGCTTCATTCCGCGTATACCCTTGGGCGGGACACAAAATACTCCACGAAACATCTCCCGCAGCAGCGAACGGTATTCCTGGCCCGGAATCTCCTCGTCGAAACTCTTGTCGAAGACAACAATGCCCCTCCCCCCTTTTAAGCAATTCCCTCCAAAACCCAGCTCGGCCATTGTGTGCACGTTGGTCACGCTAAATTTGATCGTAGGTCCGTTGGGAGCACGTGCGAGCCATAGGTAGAGGTCTTGACCGTGTTTGCGTGCTTCCAGGAAGAAGACGTAGTTGCAGGAATGGAGGTCGGCAAGGCCATTGAGGGCGGAGTTGTAGTTATTAGACGACTTCGTGTCGAGCTTTGTATCTTTGTAGGTGTGAGGGAGTAGGACGTGGAGGTCGTTCAGCAAATGGCGGTGTCTGCAGATGTCAGGAACAAGCCATATCGAAGATGCAGCCCAAATATCTACCTGTATGAGACTCCGCGAGAAGTGAGCATCAGGACTCGGTTTCGGATCTCCGGGGGCAGCTGTGAGAGAACATTGAATTTTTTCTGGTTCTGAGCATGTTCCTCCGTGCTGGAGGATTCGGCGCGCAGGGTTGCGCTACTGCCTGCGGACACGACTGAAGCGCTCTCATCTGAGTCGGAAGCGTCGCCCGACCGCATCGCCGACTTGTATGCGGATGCCATAGCCAGAGAGAGCGAGCCGTTGAGGTTGTGGAATGGCTGAGGATTGTGAGCCGGAAAATTCTGGTGCGAATTTATTCTGCGGGGAAGAAAAAAAAAATCTATGGAATTGGAGATGAAGAATGATCGATGCGGCGAGCAGCCAACTGGGAATTACGACTTCTCGTACCAAGATTTGAAAAATTCCGCAGTGACCTGGGAATCTCCTGTTACTGATCGCAATCGAAAGCATACAATACAGCAAACTCGATGTTTTGATTGCGGGAAGAGAATTCCACATCAGCTGGAAATCTTGGGTACCGGCCATGCCAAATGCCATCGGTCTCGATCTCCGACCGGCGGGATATCCACCTTCAGACCTGAGATGCCTTTTCCCGCGGTAGCATTTCCAGGAACCTGCAGAGCTTTGCTCAGAGCAGCGATCGCAATCGCAGTGCCTATACATGCTTTCATCGAGTTGCGCACGTCTTTTGTCCACTCGCTGTCCACTATCGGAGCGAACGTCTTGCCTCTTCCTTCTCCGACCGGACCAGCTTCGGGATGAGCAAATCGGGGAGGCTTGGACTCCCAGCCACCCCTCAGAACCTCTTCCCATGCTTTTCTTGCCGTCTGTGTCAAACTTGACGCCTGTTCGAGGACCAACTCATCGGGGAGATCCTGCAATGAGCATGACTGGTGAGCCACATCAAACTCGATTGGTTCGGGGATGGAGAGGTTGAGGAACGGTCGCATTCTCAGCTCGTATCGTAACCGGTCTGATGCATAGGCGGGCGAAGGCTTGTGCAGATGGCCATGCCGTTGAATGATGGTGAAGACCCGATGCAAGGCTTTTGCCATGGCCTCTGTAGCTTTGATCCAAGTGAAATGGCGGTACAATCGCTTCAACGCTATCTGCACCTTATCTCGCCGAGGTGCATCCACCTGCCGACTTGAGGACACAAAGAAGCTGATCCTTTCGAGGTGAGAGAGATGTGAGTTGGACAGGAATGACAGATACCAGTACATCTCGGCAAACTCGTGGGGAGCATAGATGGAAAGTTCAAATCCCATCTGATGGATCGTGCGAAGTTGGATCAGCTTGTAGTGATATACCCAACTGCTGAAGGAATATGAAAAGGTGGGTTCCTCGCCGTTGGGGTACGGAATGGGCTGTTCGTCCTGTACAGACTGTACAAATGCATCCAGGTCCTCAGCCTCCGCTTGGATTTGATCCCACTCCAGCGCTGCGTGGCACATGGAACGCCTCAATCTGCAACGGTTCAGGCAATAAGTTCTAAACAAATTGAGGAAGGACTGTCCGCAACGATTCAGAAATAGATTCACCTTGGCGCCAAGTTCAATTTGCTGATCTTCTGGAATATCCTCGATTTCGCTGTTGTTGCTGTCCAAGGGTAAAGCGCTCGGAAGGGAGAGAGAAAGCATGTCTTGACTGATGAAGTGGTTGGTGGAGAATCGGCCCAGCACCGTGTTATCGACATTCAAGAAAGACTGGAGGAGTGCTCGGACGTACACGGCGGGTTGTGGCGTCTGCGCCATGAACCTTTGATAGGCAACTAGCAGGTCGCTGCTGGATGTAATGTCAAGCATCTGGAATGCTGTAGTGGTATCCGTAAGAAGCTGGCGGAAGAACGGTAAAGCTTTGTCCTTCTCAATGACTATCATCGGTCTCGGAGGCACACTGCTTGCCAGGCCCCGTTGCATCTTCAGCGTAAACATCACAGTCGAGGTTGGGCGGCCAAGGGTGGAAGTCTCTTCAATCGTCTTGATCAGGGCAAGGTTTTCTTCGAGAATTGGCTCGGTTGGCCGTTCGCGGAGCTCGCAGCTGTGAAATAACTGAAGGAAAGCAGACCTTGCATCTACCCTGTCTTTCAGCGCCCCCTTCAACGGCTGCGGAAGGTTGCTGTTTTGGATAAAAGCACGTGCATCCTGCAACGAGACCATGACCTCTCTAACTGAGAAGTCATGCAGGAGGGGTCGATTGTATATCTGTGGCGCAAAATCTTCCTCCTGGATGCCATCAGCTGCCAGTCGATATGAGCCATTCCTGCAGAGTCCCTACCTCGTAAAAATGCTGACTCGCCACCATCGAGAGAACGAGGTCACAACACTTGATCAGGCCAACACAGTAGGGCTGAAACACGTCATGCAGCAAAGAAGGCGCACCTCTGGAGTTGGGACGGTCCCTCCAAAAACAGGCGTCAGAGAACTGCTTTGGTTGGGGCCAGAGGAGTCGTTCAATGTGTATCGATGTAAAAAGAGTCTGGGACAGAGGATATCCCATATGCCATGCCACCTGCTGGGGTTATTCCATCGCTCTGTATTGAAGGACAGTGCCTCTCACCTCGCGATACATCAACTGGTCCATCAGCCATATCATCTCCTCTGCCGACACTGTCCTGGCAGGGTCGAATTCCTCATCGATGTCGGCGTCGAAAGCGGAGCAACCGCTATCCATCTTTGGATCACCGATCTGGCCATTGAATCAGGAACATGTTATTTCGGGTCTGGCTGGAAATTTTGACCTCCAAGGCGCTGACGGCCTCATATAAAGTGAAGTGCTCATCTTTGACCAGCTTGCCCGCGGTCAATTCTGTGGAAGGGTTAGCCTTGTTGGTAACAAAGAGAGGAGCAACACCAACTTGATGCAGCACTGCAGAATTCTCTCGTTATTTCGGTTATCTGAACATTGGGGTGGACAATCTGAGATTGAACCATGGCAGCCGTCCTCTCCCAGTTGGATCAGAGAAGTGGATGTTATGACGGGCGGAATCTCAGTCGACAGACCTTCCCGCAGCGGAGTCAACGGCTGAAGAATTATTTGATCCTGCGCAGAATGACCGGGGTCAAGCAACGAATCGCTACCAAGACATGCGATGTGCAGGCATGAATTTTGCAGAGGTTCATTTTGGGGTGCGAAGGACGTGTGGATGCAAAGTGAAAAGTCTATGGCACGGGATTTTACAGGCCCTGGAAAATGTCATGTGCACATCTGCGTGCGTGCATCCAACTTCGACCCGAAGTCTTCGGTGTAATATGTACAAGTCTGATTTTGCTGCTTCAAAGCGTGTTGCATTTGCCCTTAATGTGTCCTGCAGAGTGCATTCCCCCTCTATTTTGCTTCCCCGGCAGCGTGTTCGGCCATAGCGTCAGCATTCGCTGCACCCAGGCTCTTGTTTTCTCCCTGTTTGCCGCTCTTCTCAGTGTCAGTCGGAAGCCCTGGAGCTGCAGCGTCTGTGGAATGAGCTCACCTGCCACTTCGCGAATCTCAAGTCCATATCGCCTCTTCTCTCAGCTTGTAGTCTGGGTCCTTCTTTCAGCGATCTGCGGACGACTCGAGCGGCAATGGCGAGATATCGGTTGTAGCTGCCAACGTTAGCCCGATCCAGGCAAGAAAGAGAAGGCACTCGGCGTACGTGAGACCAGCCGCTTTCCATTCGAAAGCCATGATGACGATGGGAAGAGGAGCGAGTGATTGCGAAGAATTCGAAGCTTGTGCGTGGGTATCAATGGGAGAGGACGAGGTAGACTGCGCCGCGAAACCTCGCGAAGGGAAAGCTCCTGATGCTCTTGAGCTGCCCGCTGCCAAGTCAAGTATTAAAAGCGGCTCGCCGTTCACTCCGGATTGGGACGAAAGTGATGCCGCCCTTACCACAACGACAATTGTTTCGCCAGAGTTTATGGGTTAATACCTCTACCGACTACTCGATCAATACTTCGGCTTTGCAGCAGAAGACAACTTGGCTCAGATTGAGTGATTGATTGATTAATTGATTGATTTGATACCAATTCCAAGCCCAGCACTATCTGAAACCCAGGCTGCCCAACGCACGCCCGTCGATACATCTCCTTTGCTCTCCAGGTCGAAGCGCTCTTCGGCTGTCGCTGAACACCAGGATGATTGCGCTTGTCGCGAGGCGCCGTTCCTTAACAGCGAGTGGGTTGATCTGTTCCCCTGCACGCATGTTCCCTCGATCATATAGATTGTGCACCGTGTCCTTCCGGATGCTGTATCAATTATACCGACATGGTTTAAGAGTGCTCTACTTCACGGACGGATTGTAGTTGATCATGATGGTCCGAGGCATGGAGCGCGAGTGGCATTCAAACTGAGGTATTATTGGGTTGGCTCGTCGGCGCATTTGCAGTTAATCCCTGCTGCACCTGGAGTGCCTGTCCTCTGAGCAGTCTCAGCCGAGCATAGGTATCGTAGGCATAGCGATAATCATCACCGCACTCCTTCATTTCACATGGTAGGACTCCTCCGCGCGTGTAGTTCTCTTGTCCGCAATTGAACAAAGGCATATTCGTGCAAAGTGTGAGCATCAACTCGGCGCTGGGAACTCTGCCGTTAGGATCTGCACGTTTGTTGACGGCTTCCCTGTCGATGAGATCACGAATAAGGGGTCCATATCGTCCTGCATATCCCAACTTGTTGTGACGTCTTGTGTTTGCGAGCTTCCAGAGGTATTCCAGAGCATTGCCGTCCGGTCCAGGCGAGTTTAGGCCTGCACCGCGTTGCAGTAGAAGACTTAGCATCTCTACCGGGAACCCTTTATCGTTGAAGATATACTTAGCAAGAGCAGCGTGTAGGGCGGTGCTATACAGGTCATAAACGCGGTTAATGTTCTCACCGCATTTCAAGAACATGCCAAGCATTTCCGCCGTATCATTGTCTGCTCTGCTCCGACAGGCTACCGCCCATGATAGACTGAAGGTTTGCGGCTCTGCCAGTCACTCATGTTCAGGCACATAGCTGTAAAAGACGACCAAAGACCATAGCAAAAGCTTCCTCGGAGCAAACCGCAACAACAACGCATTGACGTCTGGGAGGGGTGCGTATTCAATGATGTACAGCATATCCTGGTCTTTGAAGGGTAGAGAGACACCCCCAAGGAAGGGGAGGAGGGCCGAGCGACGAGAATTCGATTCCGAGATCGAACAGAGAAACGGCAGTTTTGCAATATTTTCAGTCCATCTCTGTCTGCACGTGGAGCAGATGTTGCGAGCTCTCTGCCGAGATCACTGGTGAATACCATTTCTCTGAGTCGCTATAGGAAAGCACCTACGACCCGCGTGTTGAGGCGAGTGCGGCGTGTTCCGGGTTGTGTTGATACTCATCTTGCACAAAGCTGAGGAGCTTATGGGCCACAGCAAGGTGAACCCCAGAAGAAAGCGATCAAGGCTTTCCATGTCTTCACATGTCGGGAAAGCACTTGGGGTATTATCTATTTCCTCGCAAAGGTCAGTATCCTGGCAGATAAAGAAGGGGGTCATCACCGTATCTGTCATTGACCAAGAGAACATTCCGCTTTCAACCTCGTAATCGAAAGCAAGTTGAGGCACAAATGCGCGCGTGAAAGCAAAAATATCAACTTCTGCATGTGTCGCTGTAGGGCTTTATCAGGAATTTCGCAATGGAGGTTACGAATGGTGGTGTATACAGGGCCCCAAGCGCTCAGGGTTAGTCCAAGGGAGTTTATCCAGTTCGCAGTATGCAGCGCATATCTTCAACCAGATCAAGCTTTCATAAGCAGAAGACTCATCATTACTACATAGTAAGGAACAAACCCCCTTGTCAAGATAGGTTTTGACAATCCGACGGATGAGTTTGACGGACTCATAGCGAGTCACACACGACGGGGAGGGATCGTCCTGATCTGAGCGAGAAGATCCTTCACAGTTTTGTCCGTCTGTCTGCCTCGCACCGCGATATTGATAGAACTCAGCCCACTTTGGTGCCAAGACCTGGACATAGCTAGAGCACGCCTCTACCAAGGGCCGGATTGTATTTTGCAAAGTCAGGTAGCTCTACCTTATTGACCGCCCCAGAAGGCCTCGTTAGTATTCCTCCGAGGCAACTTGCCTCGAAGAGCTCCGACAGAAAGATGTCACGTTTAGCCGACGTGACGAGTCGAAGGACGATGCCGCCTTTTTCCGGTCCGCTCTCGACTTGGATTCGAATATTCTAGCATAGATCCTTTCCAGATCCGGAGGTACCATCTAAAGTTTGGCGTTGAAAGCATGTTCACTTAGGTCTTGGCCCTTGGCATGGATGATGGCAAAGACTGCAAAGCGAGCCCACAAACAGACACCTGCGGACTTTTTCGTCATGTTTTCGGCCAGGGAATCGACAATAGTCTGCCCTTCCTTGGTTGAAGGATTGAGATTGCTGGCGAGAAAGGCGGTGACGAAGCTCATTATACCTGGGCGATTGACCTTGTCCATCCGTGGAGAGACCAGCGCTTGGAACTTCAGGGAGAATGGCGATTCGTCTCTGCTAGCCAGGCAGACCCTAACACCAGCAGACACGAGGCCATCCACTAGACTTAGAAGCTCCACGTTCTCTCCTTGATACTCATAAGGCCACTTAAGAACAACAACACCGGAACAGTCAGTTTCCTGAAAACAGATTCGAGGATGGAAGCCAATTTGGTATCGTCACCGAGCAACTCGAGACTGTTTACCTTGCTGAGGCCAAAACACATCCTGACCTCAGATGCAAGGTGAACCAAGGCGGAGAATAACTGATTAGTGACGATCTTCGAAAGCCTCGGAACTTGTTCCGTATTCCATGCTCTGCTCGATAGTCAAAAAAGAAAGAAACAAGGATACTTGTTCAACCGCATGCTTTCTTGGCCACATCTCGGATTTGTTCTCGGTTGGCCAAGTAGTTGATCAGGTTACTCTTCCCGCTCGCCAAATGTTCCGGACGGTGATCCAGAATAGCTTGTCAGCAAATTGGATCCAACTGACAAATGGCGAAGACCAGAACCAGTTAAAGGGTGGGCCAGCCGTAACGATCCTGTTGAGCTATTCCTGCCGTGCAATGCGGTCGCCAAAGTTTAACTCCTCGAGCATGGCTGTTTCTGGTCAGCCGAGACGACCAAAATGACCATGAATGGTGGAGCCAACAGGCGGGCTTTACCATCATCACACAACTGTCTGCGCGGCCGTGTTCAGGGCCGCGTGCTGCTGTCGAAGAGAATCCTGTCTGGTCTTGATCTTGTCGAGATAGATTGAGAGGACATACTTGAAGTCCCTGTAAGCGCCATATGCAGCTGAAGGAAACTAACACAGGGCCATGTGGTTACCATGCGGGACGACGAATCTTCTTCCAAGACCTGTGCGATTGAAAATTGACGAGAAGTCTCGAACGACTTAAAAGCATCTAGTCGACTGATATGTGGAATTTGGCTGGCAGAACCAGGGAAGACGATAACTTTAAGCCGGTGCCTTGCACGCTACCCATACCTTGACCCTCCTGAAAGCCGCACATATGAATCTTCTCAGCCACCGGTATCGGTTCATTGAGTAGTGTGTTGAATCTGCGCTGATATTTTCCAAGGGCTCGCTGTCGGGGGAAAACCCGCGCAGAACTTCTCCATAGGTGCCGAAGCCACTGGGTAATGCTCCAACAATGCTACCGACTATTTCCCCCATGTTGCAAGGCCGGCTCCCAGATGATGCGTTCCAAAGAAGAGGCATATGGGCACGAGTCTGCAATGTCCATTTCTTCCTGCTGATGTTTCAGCTCCAGTGATTGAATAATGGCGTCTTTGACCAAGATCCCACGCAGACTGTGCACCACAAAGACGAGAGGCTTCCCACGGCAGTGAACTCTTTCTCGATTGACTCTGTTCCGAAGCTGCTGGGCATGCTGGGTGATGTCATCTGTGTGGTTTTTTTTTACCTTGTACCAATGTGTCGGGTCCAAGTCGTAGCCGTAAGTCATGGCTCGGCCGTTTTGAAATTCTTGGGCACGAGATAAAAGGACCAGTAACAACAAGACGCTTTTGCTGGCCCGGTCTTGTCTTCCGCCGCGATCTCACCCTCTTTCCGCTTTCCTCTTTTTAATATAAATCTCGGCACCAAGGCCTTCAGGCCCCTCTCGCACTTGACACTACTCGGTCCAGAGGCCTTCGCGATCTCGCTACAGAGCCACGTCTTGAGCGTCCTGCCCATCAGCCCATGACCAACACAATGTCTGCAGCCACGGCGGCTCCTTCGGGTGGAGTGTACAAAGGTGTAATGTCGACGTCCGGGATATTGGGAAGTGACGAGGTTCGCTCCAACGTCATATTCTCTCGGACCTGGCTGGCACTCTGCGCCTTGCACCATCCTAGGTGTAGGCACTGTTGGTGCACGCGCTGTCACCAGAGTGCTGCCCGCCGAGTTGGCATCGCCTTCGACCGCGCCGAGGGCGGCGAGGGCGGGTGAAATATCCTGATGAACATGGCGTTTCCCCCGCTGGCTAAGTAGCTGCAGCTGCCTTTCAGCTTTAGCCTTATCACGTCCAGCTCCAATCCAAATCGACGACACTGTGGGACAGGGAGGAGTTGTGTGGGTGTAACAGGCGGTATGGTATTCGTGTATCCATGGAGAGTGTCTGACAGCTATCTATCTGTGTAATGTATGCCAAGGCGCTAAGGCTCAACAACACCTACATAGGCGGCAAGGCAAAGTTAAGGCTAGTCCGCCAAGAGAAGGTAAATCGACCCCAGCTCACCCATCACAGCCAACATGGCCCAGTTCCGTGCTTTCATAAATCAGCCACGGCTTGTGCGGGTCATACTCGAGTACACCACCGCCGAAGAGGTGTGGCTGCTGAACATGTGTGCTTGATGCTGTCTAGTTGCAAATGGATTTTGATCTTCAGCTTGTTCCACGGGCCGGCGAGCTCAAGACTTTGCACAATGATGCGGGCGAGCCTTCTACACGCCAGAACGCGTTGGAATACGATCCAGATCCATATACCTTGATTAATGTCCGGATCGACACTGTCCAGTACGGTACATACGACAGCGAGCCCGCAGCACTGATTGTCTTCAGATTCATTGCCAGATTCAGGTCGGGCTCCAGAAGAATCAGGAGCTTTCATCTTAGGATCGAGTTCCACAAACAAGCTGAACTTCCTGGCGCAGCTACGCCCAAAGTACGGACGCTCAAGCCCGAAGATGTCAGGGGAAAGATATTCACAGAAGAGCGAAGTAATACCATATCGGGTGGGCTAGATGTACCCATTGGTCCCAATAGTGCCACGATACATGTCGGTGATGAAGTAGCCAGGAAGATAAACAGGGAATACGAGCTCAAATTGACTGGATGGTTGACAAGCTCAAACTCGGGTTCAGACAACGTCTTGGTCTGGGATTGCGAGGAAGCAAGGAAAGCTGCCCGAGGAATTGTCCCGAATTACCGTGGAGCTTGTATTGTCCAATACACTCCGACTCAGCCATTCCTCGCGACATTCAAGCTTGATGCCGAACGAGGAACCTTCCACTTCGATAAGAACGCATTCGAGTACCTCAATGTTTTCGCCAAGAAGGACATTGATGATCCAGTGATTTTTGATCCGAATAAACCGGTAGGCCGCCAATACCCAAACCTCACAGATTTGAAAACTCTCGACCTTGAGGACATAATCAAGCTCGACCCGATTCCGACCTTACCAGCCGGCTATTCTTGATGACTTCATACGTATCTCTCCCCGCAGTACCTTGCCCGGAGTCTAACACAAACCTCACGGTGAGGGGCGTCGAGATGTACGCCAATTTTGAGATTTTTATCAGGCGAATGCTATAACGGATATGAGCAAGCACCAGGATTCCTTCTCTCGCATAATTCAGAAGATAATGATGCGGAGCCCGAGTGGCTATTGAATAGCTTCGGTCTGGGTGAGCTCGACTGATTCCTCGACACCTCTGCGGGGGGCGAAGCCGGGAACTGGTATTATCGACCCCTGTGAAGCAATTCATTAGATCTCTCCTCCAGGCTGGCGTGGACAAGAAGATGACGATTTGGAGCCGCAGGGGGAAATGGTGAAAGTTGCAGCAATCTATAGCTGGGGGCACATCTTGACGGCAGCAATGTGAACCCTTATTACCTTATTTTGTCAACCTACCAACTTCCGGGTTTTCTCCGACAAAACCAGTTTCCATAACAAATGAATGGTGCCCAGTAATACGGCCTTGACGTCTCTGGCTGCTTCTTTATTTCAAGAACAGCATGCTGAATGGCTCGGGCAACGTTGACAATCGGTCCGAGCTCCTTGCGATCGACGTGTCGTAAGAAATAGTCGTAGTATATGCTGGTGAAGAGGCGTCCAGCGCTGGATTGGATGGGCCAGAGGGCGCCGATCACCGAAGTTGCCCCCCCTAGCAAGAAAGCCGATAGTAGACCCAATGGCTCATCACCTGAAAGAGAGAAGTCTTGTACGCCGCCAGAACAAGCCATCAGCGTCACGTGTGCGGCGCGAAGATTGAGAGAGCTTATGTCGCCGATAGTCAAGACCTCTCCCTTGGGTCCGAGAGCAAGGCATTGCTTTGTTGAATCATTGGGGTCGATGATGCTATGACCGTGGAAGTGTAGGACATCAACTGAATCTAGCTGCTGTGCGATGCTTCCGGTTGTGAGCGCGTGGCCAAGCAACGGAGTCGCATCCAGATCAGCCGCCAGCCTTGTGCAGGACTGATAAATTTCATGTCGTTCATGCATTCTCTCTGCATCAGTCGAATCGTCGTCGTAGGCCGCGGCGATCACCGCAGTCCATTCTTTTGGCGCATCCATGTCCTTCTCCGGTGCGGCCAGCTGTTCAAGACAGCTGAGAAGCGCAATTTGAGAAGGCACGTATATGATGGGATTGCGTTCGATCAGTGGAGATGCGCCGAGGTGCACTGCGTGCAGCGGGACGTTGTGGAATGGTGACGTGGTAGAGAGTATGAGGATATCTCCCGGATTGCTGGTGTCTTCCAATGGCTCGATGACGGGAACGAAGGGTCGAAGGTATCTCTCTGAATCAGAGTCATCCATTCTAGCCTCGTTGATTTTGGAGGCCGCCTGCTGGAGTTGATCGAGGTCTAAGTCCATCTGAAATTGCGATGTTTGGCAGTCGTCTTTGAAGATGCGGCAGACGTTCAAAAGTAAACGCCTACGGCCCAGACCATAGCTGATCCAATCTACGAAAATGAGTTTGGAAGCTGAGGCGCTTTGAATGTATCGCAGGTCTTCAAATCCCATATCTTGCTGTAGACGCATCTTAGACGTTCCCGATGGCGCTCGCAGACCCTTTGCGCTAAGCACATCCGAAAAGGCTCGTGCTTTTCCCCGTTGCGTCCACTGCCACGTTGCCAAAGGATCGTTCATTTGTGTAGCAATTTCCAGGCACATATCAATACGTTGCTGTCGCTCGATACTCGAAGTGAGATATGCTTGTGAAACGATTAGCTCATCGATCCGATCGTAACTCCTATCGAGATCTCTTGTTTCGACAGACATCTCTCTTTCAAGACTAAAGACCTCCGAAAAGCACTTGAGAGCCTCTGCTTGCACACTTTTGCGAGTAGCAAAGCCCGCAATATTCCAGAGCTGCTTGATAGACCCATTGTTAAAAATCGTCAAGAAGTAGCATAACATGGCCTTGGTGGCCAGCGTTGAGGCCCGTCGAGCGTTGTTTCTTCGTGAAGAGGGCCGATCAAGACGCTCAGAAAAGTGACGGTAAGTTTTCTCGAATGCTTCCAGATTGTTGTTCATAATTGCAGCTATAAACTGCTGAAGATAGATTTGATAATCCACCTTGTCGAGGAAATCCTTGGGGGCTGTGCTGGAACCAGATCCAAGCGATTCCAAAGACAAGTTTTTGTTTTCATCAAAGCTGCGCTTCAAATACAGACCTGCCGATGAACGAAGAAAAGCCACTTGACACTTGAGTGCGGCAGCTTCAGCTTCACTGGGAATCTGGGGTATGAACGTGGCGGCCCTATCCAGGATAGGTACAACATTTTGAGCAATCTCTTCTAGGTCGTTCCCTTCGAGCCGACCAATGTCCGACAGAACGTTGACCAAGAGAAGCTGCATCTCGATCATTGCTTTATACCATTTGTTCTTGTGATTGGTCTTTATAGCCTGCTCGATGCGATTTGTCAAATCGTCAAGGAAATTTAATCGCGCTTCATCAGACGCGCGTTCAGGCAGAAACAAGGTCTCAAGGACATAACCTTCTGCCAAAGCTTGCTGTTGTTCATCTTTGCATTTTTGGCAGTACGCAAGATACCGCTCGGCATGACACAGCGCTGGTTCACGTTGACGCAGCATAAAGTACTCTTCCCATTGTCGATGATGGTATCTTTGCAGATAAGGCATTCGTACGCATACCGGTAGCTCCAGGAGTTCGTGGCGGCGCTTTCTAGCCAGAGCAAAGTCTCCTCCAGCCGAGTTGAGGAAGTCACAATATCTGAGTTCGATCAAAGTCTTGCTCAAAATGTCCCCATTGCGGTTACAGACTTGTTCAAGGAGCTCATGAACCTCGGCTCCTAGAGTGAAAGCTTCCTTAGGGTCAGGAATCGCATTTAAAAGTTCTGCTGCAGATTCAAGCGCTTTGAACGCAGACAGAAAGTCTGCTAGGTCCGCAAGGTCTTTGGAAGCTCTTATCAAGCGACCTACCCTGTCAGCTTCAGTTAGACCACTCTCAAGATACCTCTGTCGAATGACATCTTCATGCAGTCGAAACACATCCTTCCTGACTTGGATTTGCTCCTTTCTGTGGCCATGCTTCTTTTTCAAGAGCTTGGATCCCAGTTTGAAAATCTTCTGGAAGCTGGCCCCTAGGATGTCTTTGCTTGTGTTATCTGAGGGCCGAGAAAGCAAACTTAAAGCACTGCTAGCATCGCCGAAGTTTCCTTCTTTGCAGTTGAGTCTTGCCAAACACAACAAGTACCAGTGAAATGCTGGATCGGAAGGTGGCACTAGATGAGGAAACGATGTCTGGAGCCGTTCTCCAGGATCGTCCACGAGAAATTCGAAAGCATCCAGCAGCTCAAAATAAAGTTTGTGCTTTGCTAGTCTGAGCAGAAGTGTCCGCAAGAGTCCTTGGTCGCACTGATACTCCGGCTGAGTCAGGCCCTCCCCATAGTATATGCGCCAATCTCTGATGACCAAGCAATAGAAAACTATTCGAACCTTGCGTTGTAAGCCTCAGCCATCATCTGGCGATGTGTGCAGACTAACCACGAACTCGTCGTTCGTCTCTGAGTTCAACGCAGATACGTATCTTTTGTACAATGTTGATGCAATATCAAGGGGCTTGATGAGATCAAGGTCTGTCCATATCTTATTCGCCTCTAAGGATAGGCGCAATAGGTCGCAAATTGGCTCGTTACTTTTCAAGTCTTTGATGTCGAGCATTTCGACAGCCCTGTGGTCCCCTTGGACCAAATTGACTCTCAGAATCTCTGATTTGATGAGTAAAGAGTCCTCTTCCGAAGGATCCACTGAACATGGCTCGCGCAATATTCTCAGAGCGTCTGAGAAATTACCGGAATTGCTCTCAAACCGACTTCGAGCAATTGCGTCTCTCGCAGACTTGCCTTCCTTGTTCATGATAGCAGGCTGATGAAAGGTGAGTGCAAAGGTGATTAGGGTGAGTGTGAAAGGTGAGAGGGAGCGTAGGTAGTTTTAAAAGCGGCATGACCTGGGTCAGCTGTGCTCTGTACGAGCAGTTCTCAACCTTTGTGCCAAGCGAAACACATCCACGCCAAGGTTGAATAGCAGGTTCGCCTGAGTCGATTTGTCGCTTCAAGATCGCTGCTGCAGTTATTTTGACCTCTTTTTTGCCTAGCTTGCAACAGTCAGGCCTATCAACAAGATGTATTCAATAGAAAAGACATAAATGAGAAAGAGGTCCACGCTCTAGCCGACAAGAACACGGATAGTGTGACATCACACACCTGGGCGAAGACTTAGACTGATACCATTTTGTCAGAAAGGCATGCCTAAGCCTTTCATATTTATAGGTCTCTCTAGAGTATATAGGTGGCCTTCTTCGCCCTCAGTAGATAAACAATCCACAAGTTCAATCCTCTCAGTCTCTGACACGTGTACGCTGACGGCTCCTGCTCATTAGGACGGCGCCGAAGCACAAGGAGAATCTAAGACAAGAACACCTATTCGGAGAAAGTTAGATCTTGTAGGATCCTTAGTAATTATGTCAACATGATGCTGAATGAGGACTGAAGATTCATATGTCTCGAAGAATGGCGACTGAAGCATCTATCCGGTGAATTTCTGTCATAAACCAACTCTCCTTCTGCCGCCAGCGAAGGAGTACCTGCAGCTCCCCCGGTGATAGTATCTCCTCTTCGCTTCCTTGGACGTCACTTCGTTCAACCTTGCTGAGTGTTGATGAGAGCTTGTCTCGTTCTAGGTGCAGGCGCTCGTACAATCTCGACATGGTTTTGTACAACTTGTCGAGGAAGACTTTTCGTACTCTTTCGGGGTCGTAGAAGTAGAGGTACGTGGTGCTTTTGGGTTGTCGTTGCGGATCTCTCGGTACTTCTTGCAGCTCGAGAAAGCCATTCATCTGTAGTTTTGCCAAAGACATTCGAAGTTCTTTAGCATTCAGAAGCCCAACATCCTGCATTGTCCTCTCATCAAGTTTCCCCTTATCAGCCAGCATGCGAACAATCCTGAGTGCCGGCCCACTCATGTTTTCGTCAATGAGACGCAGCATCTCCTTTTCCCACAGAAAATCGTTGAGCTTGCCTTTGTCCACTGCCCAAGATTTCGTCGCAGGATCCTCCAAGAGAAAGATAAAAGGCCCTTCTGCCAGCACCCCTAGCTGGCGTTCGATGAATTGATGATCCCCGCTTGTCCCGTTTACTCCATGGTCATGATGGCCATTCGAGAGTTGGTCTGCCGCGAGCCAACCGTTTTCCCTGCTTTGCCCATTGCCCATTGCTGGTCGACCCTCCGAAGAAACAATGCGGCTTATCTGGGAGATGTCTAGTCTCTTCAGCGAGCCTCCTGGGTTATCGGGTAGTCGTAGTTTCAACGGTCGCGGATCGATGTCTTCAAGCTGTAAACAAGCTGCTCGTGCAACTTCTGCGGTACGTCGGCCGAAGATCTTCTCAGCAGCTTCCGTCACCCTTTCATTGCGGATATAGAGAATCAAATTGGAATAGTCAACAGAGAGCAGGATGTTGGCCTATTTACAATCAGTAGCGAACGCAGCGGGGAGTGACAATCATTGACTACCTTGCTCGGACTCGTCTCAAGTTCATGCAAAACCTGCGGCCAAGAAATACTGCCATCTAGGCGCTGCTCGAGCTCGACATCGACCCTTGCTTCGCCATCGATTTTGATTTTCTTTCCCGTTCCTTGCAGGAGCATCCCATGACCGCTTAAGTAGCGTTCGGCATCCTGACGAGAGTCAAACGGTGAGTGAAAATGTGCCTCACGAACAGTTAGAATAAATTTGGAAGTAATCAGTTGTTTAAGCAGAGCTCGAAAATGGGTTCTGTCCATTGACTTGGACGGGTCTCCATCGCCTAGAACGCGTGCCTCGAGCTCGCACGCGGCGGCAAAGCCCACGACAGCCAAGTATTCCATGATGTTCGCACCTGCAGACCCGAACTTCGACTCAACAAGTTCAAGGAGTCTGCCGGTACGCATGATGTTGTATGCATTGCCGGTGTTCGCTTGGTATGTCGACAAGCCATCTAGAGACGTGTGGTGGTAGACAAGCCGCAGCTGGATCAAACTCGCTACCCCGGTCTTGACTTGGCGGAGGGGAAGACGGCATTTTTGAGCAATCTGGTTGATAGAAAGCCGCCCGAACTGAGCCAATTGTCGAAAGATTTGCTGCATAGTGATCAGTGTTCGCCCTCACACACTGAATAGGGGTTACTGACAGCAAGGAATGTACCATAGGCATCTTCGACAATGCTACAGCAAAGTTGCGAGAATTCCTGCTGTGTCTTAGCTGGACAAGCTCAGCCTAATCTGGCGGGGATTGTGAAAATACCTCCATATCCAACAGTTGGCGGAAGTATCTGAAGATTTGGTCTGCGCCGTATGGGCGATGGATAATTCGTTCACTGCCTCATCTCGAGTGACCTGGAGCCAGATGTTAGAGAAGGAGGATCATCATTTCAGCGTGCTTTGCATGTGGAATTTGAGGAGAAACTTTTATCGGTGACGAGGCTGTCAACAAAGACTGAAGAAATTGTAGTGACGGAGCGGCGAGGGCGGATCCTTGCGGGGGGCTTGGCATGGGGCTTGGCAAAATTTCGGGACCTGAGTGGTTGCTTCACGCGGCCAATCGCAACGAGTGTGAATTCTGTAGAATCAATTGAAGCTCGACTCAGACACCTTCCGAGCTCCTGTCCGACTGCACCTGTTGCTTTACCACTTCCTTCCATCCACCACCAGGCTCCTTATACAATGGCTTCTCCAGCTTCGCTTGGCTCTAGAGCCCTGCGAGCTAGCAGTCGTCATGTTTCCGTCACTTCCCTGCAGAGGAGAAGTCTAGCCGCAGCTGCTTCCGGCAGCTTTCAGTATGAGACGGGGGATTCGTCGGGTGTCAAGTTCGCCAGCAGAGATTTGCCAGGTCCAACTACCACCTTGACTGTCGTCGCAAAAGCCGGCACCCGCTATCAGCCTCTGCCTGGCTATTCCGACGCTCTAGAGAAGTTTGCTTTCAAGGTCTACTACATCATATTGCCCGGAAATAATCACTCAGCTAACTCCAAAATTAGTCTACCACGAAACGATCGACTCTGCGCATTACCCGAGAGGCTGAGCTTCTCGGTGGTGAGCTGTCTGCGTACCACTCCCGTGAGAACCTCGTCCTCCGAGCCAAATTCCTGCGCGAAGACCTGCCTTACTTCACTGAGCTGCTGGGAGAAGTTATAACAAAAACACGATACACGAGTTAGTCCCCTTGCGAGTATAATTGGAAAGCTATCTCTGACGATATACAGCGCATGAGCTCAATGAAGAGGTGATTCATGTCATGAAACTGGCGCAGAAAGGTCTTCTAGGAAGCCCTCTGTCGCTAGCACTGAACTCCGTTCATGGTGTTGCGTTCCACCGCGGGTTGGGCGAGCCACTATATTCCACTTCCTCGGTTCCGATGATCCAATACCTTGATGCCGAGGACATTGCGAAATTCAGTGAACGTGCCTACGTGAAGGGAAATATTGCCGTTGTCGCCAACGGTGCTACTCACTCCGAATTCTCCAAGTGGGCGGGAGAGTTCTTCCAAGACACTCCGAGCGGTTCCAAATTGTCCAGCCCTGCTTCGAAATACTACGGCGGTGAAGAGAGAATTGCTCACGGGTCTGGGAATGTGTTGATCATCGGTTTCCAGGGGTCTAGTTCGTTCACGGCCGGGTCGTCCTACAAACCGGAAATATCAGTCTTGGCCGCTTTGCTTGGAGGAGAAAGCAGCATCAAATGGTCTCCAGGCTTCTCTTTACTGTCCAAAGCTGCGCAGGACTTTCCCCAAGTGGAGGTTTCTACTCAACATGCGGCGTATTCTGACGCAGGCCTTCTCTATATCACATTTAGCGGCAATGCGGCCCAGATCGCAAAAGCGAGCAAGAACGCAGTCGACACACTTAAGAAGGTTGCAGCAGGAGAAGTGGCAGAAGAGGACATCAAGAAGGCTACTGCATTGGCGAAGTTCCGGGCGCTTGAGGCTGGACAGCAGACACAGGCTGGTCTGGAAGCCACCGGAAATGGACTAATTGAGGGTGGGAAGCCATTCCAGATTGATGAGATTGGCTCGTCCATCGACAAGGTCTCGTCAGACAAGGTCAAGGCGGTGAGTTATCTGAACTTGTTTTCGGTCGATTCTAGATTTGCTAACTTTGCATAGGCGGCGAAGGGTTTGCTGGAATCAAAGGCATCGGTATCAGCAGTGGGAGACCTGTTCAGACTTCCTTTTGCGTCGGAGATTGGCTTGACAGTTTGAAAAGGGTGAAGGCGCATTCATTCGATCGTGAATTCTGGTGTGTAAAACTTGTAAATAAGAAAGAAGCGCCTAACAAAGCCACATTTTGAAGATCGCCACGTGCCCATCCCGTCCAATTGCCATTATGCCTGGTTGGAATGGCTCGATCCTAGGCCAGTTTATTCTCGCAAAGGGGACGGAAGATGCGTGTAGAGAAGAAAGCTGCATATATTCGGCGGTTAAGACGATGGCGGTTTGCGCAATCATCAGCCGTCAAACGGAGAAAAATGACCGCGGCATTTGTCAGATGCTGGCACTTTTTCCCTTGCAACAGTCCGTTTCTTCCACTGATCTTCTGGCAACATTGAAGACGCTAGCAGGGATGACAGCAGCGAAGAGGCCAACTCACCAAATCCAACCAAATTCCGATGTTGTCGGAAGAGTGGCGACCCAGGAGCGGGCGGGTTCATGATGATGAAAAAGCGGATCGCACTCAAGCAACGCTCGCAACAAGCCACACCCAAAGTCAATCAATATCCAAGGGGCCTGCAGGTGGCACCTCAATTTGAATCCCATGGACATTTTGATTTGTGCTCAATCCCAGCGTTTTTGGCGAGTGGTCTGCTCTGCGAGGCCTCATCCATTGTGCAGACAGTTCCACGGTTTTCGTTTTCCGTGGCGATCCCCGGGACATAGATGGACACACCACGTCGGGACATAAAATGAACTGCCAATACGCCGACTCTACAGCCTTGCAGGACGCACGACTTCCATTTCGACAGGGAGAATTGAAACAATAACGTCGTCAACACCATGAGCCAGCTCCATTTCGACGCGTTGATCGTCGGCGCCGGATTCGGGGGCATCTACCAGCTACACAAACTTCTTTCCCTTGGCCTCTCTGTGAAGGTTATTGACTATGCCAGCGACGTGGGCGGCACCTGGTACTGGAACCGCTACCCAGGAGCCATGAGCGACACCGAAAGTTTCGTATACCGATATTCGTGGGATAAAGATGACCTTCAAACCTACCCCTGGACTCACCATTACGTGAAGCAGCCGGACGTGCTCGCATACTTGGAACATGTTGTCGAGAAGTATAATCTGAGGAAACATATGCAATTTAACACGGAGATGGTGGCTGCGGACTGGGATGACGAGCTCGGCGTGTGGCGGGTCGAGGTCAGTACGGGCGAAGTGTTCGTGGTGAGGTTCCTTGTCACCGCGCTAGGTTTGCTTTCGAAGGCGAATTACCCTGATATCCCGGGCATTGAAGATTTTCGAGGCGAGATGTGCCACACTGCAAAATGGAGGCCGGAGCTTGATCTCACCAACAAGCGAGTTGCAGTCATCGGATGTGGCTCGACCGGTGTGCAAGTTATTACGGATGTTGCAGGGAAGGTCAAGACACTCACTTGTTTCCAACGACACCCCCAGTATTCCGTGCCCAGTGGTGACGCTCCCGTGAGTGAAGAGTATAGAGAGCACATCAACGCTCATTATCCCGAGATCATGAAGCAGGTCCGCAACTCGGTGTGCGGCTTCGGCTTTGTCGAGTCAACCACCTCCTACCACTCTGTCCCACCAGAGGAGCGCGAACAGATCTTCGAAGCACTGTGGCAAAAGGGCAACGGCTTTCGTTTCATGTTCGGCGGATTTAGCGACATCGCCACAGACCGCGAGGCCAACGAGGCTGCTTGTGCGTTCATCCGCAAGAAGATCGCCCAGACCGTTCGAGATCCCCATAAAGCGAAGAAATTGATGCCCCATGATTATTATGCCAGAAGGCCGTTATGCGATGGTGGATACTATGAGCAGTTCAACCGGGACAACGTTGCGATTGTCGATGTCAACGAGACGCCTATTACAAAGATCACAGCAACGGGGATTGAAGTCAGCAATGGGACGGTCCACGAGCTGGATGTCATCATCTTCGCCACAGGCTTTGATGCCATCGATGGGAACTACAATCGAGTGCGAATCCGAGGCCGCGGTGGCAAGACGTTGAAGGAGCATTGGGATCCTCGCGGCCCAACCAGTTATCTCGGTGTCTTCGTACCAGGGTTTCCCAACTTGTGCATGATCACTGGTCCCCAAGGACCTTTTAGCAACATTCCCCCGGCCATCGAAATCCACGTCGAGCTCATCTCGCAGATGATCGCACGCGCCGAAGAGAATCGCCGGCTGAGCGGTGACCTCCAGGGGCGCAAGAACGTCATCATCGAAGCGCTCCCCGAGGCCGAAGAAGACTGGCTGCAGCAGTGCGAACGTGCAGCTGAAGGAAGTCTGTTCAAGGAAACCGCCTCATGGATCTTCGGCAACGTATGTGCTCTCTCCGCTCTCCTCATTTCTTTATCTTATTCTTCTACACCGCTAACGATAAGACTCTCCAGAATGTCAAGGGCAAGAAGATTGCGCTGAGGTTCTACTTCGGCGGACTGGCCAAATACCGCGAAGCTGTGCAGGCCATGATCGACGACCGATACCGCGGCTTCCAGCCTCTGGAGGACAAAGGGCATCAAAGCGAGGTCCACGAGGTTGACCAAACACATGGGCATGTGCCGATTGATGACAATATCGCAAATATCTCCGTCCCCGTCTCCGTCTCGTCGGAATTGGTCGAGGCTTAAATGATCAGTCAATGAAGCGAACAAATGGAGGAGAGGAGACAGATGCTATCAGACACTCTACCAGCACCACCAGTAGCTGGAGAGCCATTTACACGAAATTTATGGACCTATGTATTTAGCACCATCCAACCCCCTTTATCATTTTGCTTCTGTTTTCTATTCAGCGATATTGCCAGAAGTCAGAATGCAGATCTGTGTGAGTCCCAGAAGACTATCTCTTACCATGGCTTTTCTCGCTACGAAGACAGAATGAGTATAGAACATGAGCGAAGAATCTTTGTGAGGAACAACACCTAATCTATGCATCGACAAAGAAATCAAGTACGAAGTTACGACTGATCTCAATGTTACAAGTTCTATTATTGTTTTCTTCGAGGGACCAGATCCTGCCCCTTGCAAGCTCTTCTATGTCTGTTACAAGTGGTGCTTGAGTACCATCCTTGCAATTCGGGTCCTGTCGAGGACCGGTGCACTATTGTTGATCGTAAAGTTATTTCCCCATCAGATATCGTGTTCGATCATTAACTTGACTAGCCAACAAGCTGCGCTCCAACAACTTTATTCATTGGCAACTACCAGGCATAATCATTCGAAAGATGCTGGCTGTTGCGCTCTCTCCACTCTCCGTCATCGCCAGGTTCACTATCAAGGAAGTCATTCTCGTGATACTGGGTCTCGGCGGGTCGTTGGTCTGAGATCACAAGGTTCACCACATCACATCTGCCTTGAATAGATTTTGGAGCCGGCGCATCGCTTTCGTCGGTGTTATCACCGAGACTGAGCTTCTTGAGGTGACCGTTTGCTATCCGGGTGCTTTGTCGCTGCGATGCAGACGGCCTCCTCTTCGAGAACTTACTGACGATATTGGACGGTTCTTGAGTATTGAGAAAGACATTCTCTAGCTTAGCCAGCCACTTTTGTCTGAACTTGGCTCGGTCACGCCAACTGGCATCCTTCAATATCGCCTTGATGTTGAGTCTCCTCAGCTGCGCCAGATGCTCAGAAGAGTCAACGAGCGAGGCCAGAAATTCTTCAGCATCTTCTTGGGTCAACTGGCGCATATTTTCGATAGAGATGGTCACCAGATGGGACGGCCAAGTAGGTCGGCCGCGAGGTAGTAGCTCGTCGTAGAGAGGCTCGCGGTCGCGGAAGGACGTCGGATCTATGTAAAGCATGTCGATCTCTAGACGTTCCAAGTCGGGGCAGAGAGCTTGCAGACTGGCCATGAAACCAAAATCCATGCACTGGTTGCCATCGAGTTTGAGGAATCGTAGGCTGGAACCGCGGGACAAGTAATTCTCGAGAGCGTCAGATGTCAAATCGGGACAGTTAGTCAATTCCAGGTCTAGGAGGCCCGCTGGAAGCATTGGCATGGTGACTTCGTCAAGTATGCCGCAATTTCGAAAGGATAGGGATCGTAGTTCTGGCAGGCGGCCTAATGCCTCTGCGAAGAAGCCGTGAGCGCAGTCAACATCAGCTTCCTTGGCCTTTTCGGGTAGACTGAGGTTGAGAAATGTAAGGTCACGCAAGCGACTGAAAGAGGGCCGGCAGTGGGCCTCGGCAGCCATCTTGAGGACATCGGTTGTGTTTTGAAACCTTCCGTTCCACTCGAAGCTTCTCATGAAGAGATGATCAGCCTCCAGACGGCCTAAAAGCTCTGTCGGATAGCTCCACTTGAATTTCTTCGCTGCCGGCTGCGCCCAAATGACGGTTGTGAGGTCATCGTAGTTGGAGTAGAGTCTTAGGCCTTGGAGCAGCGGGGTCAGAGAAATCAATTTATCCATGGAGATGCCACTTTTCTTAACGAGAAGTTGCTTTACTTCAATATCGAGGAAACGAATCTTTCTTCGGTAGTCGGTCGATAGAGACTCGGGAACTTGCTCTAACAGGCTGATGAGACCGTGGGCTCGCCATGATGGATACAGAGGGGGGCTATAAAGTAGTGCTGTTGTGGAAGCCTCGTGGAAAGAGCGGCACAAAGACCCTGTCGTACACAGCCAGTTGATCGAAGGCTGCGCTCGCGACGTCGGGCCGTAGAGAGGATAGGCAGCATATTGCATGATGCTCACAAGGATATGGTACGGGAGTTGTTGCCATGGAGGGATCCGGTTGTTGGAGGACGCAGACAACGTGTCAGCAGAGCGCTTTGCATTCGTTTGGCCCCGATTGTGGTTGGAAGACGAAGGTTTTTGTCGCTTGAAGGATTTGAACAAGCGTTGCGCCGCCGACCTTGTCACAGGCGGAGATTTTCTCTTTAGAGGGAACGACAGCCTTTGTGTAGGCACATGCCTTCTCGTACTTCGTTGAGGTCGATCGTCCGACTGCGCGGGGAAGGACTGAGAATCAGATTCATCCGAGGATGGATCTGGGGTATCGTCGTCGTGGTCGTCATCACTCGACTCTCTGTATGTCTTTACTCGCCGGGCAGCACGTCGAGGACGGGGTTTGAGGGCAAATTCAGCGACGCCATCCGAGTCGCTGTCGTCGTTGTTCGGATAGTGGACTCGAGATCCGCGACGAGGCCGAAGTCGAGGAGGGTACGTTGAGGACTGAGCCATGGAGGGGAAGTTGAAGTGAAAGGCGGAATGCGGCGGAGGAATGGGTAATGGATGAAGAAAGCAACAAAGGGCTCCTGTCGCGCCTAAATCTAGATAATTTCTCAGAAGAAAAGCCCAAGGGTCGGCATTCTGGAGTGCCGGTATTGCGACGAGGACCTGCAGCAGCAAGATGCCGTTCGGAGCTGGTCAAAACAAGATCGTGAAGTGCAAAGGTCGGTTGGTCGGTCGGTCGCATGCAAGTCATGAATGAGATCGATCTTGCAGCAACTCACCAAGTCACATTACCGAGTACTCGGCGGGTCGGTATTAAGCTTCGGATCTTGCCGGAGCCGTCTTCCACTAGAGGCATTAGTAGCGTGTTAAAGAGCAGTCATGAGCCCTGGAGGCAGGTTTCCCGTCACGCGATGGCTAATTTTCAGGCTGGGAAAGTATTCCAACTGCTCAGCGCGTTAGCAATAAAGGCTTTTTACTGCAGCGCAATATTGGTGATATTACTCTTCACAGTCTCCGGCTCTGAACTCGGTGGTTTTTTCGTAGTGCATGTATAAGTTCAGCACGATAGGAAGGTTCCCGATCCGTAGGGCACTGTGAGTAGTCCGTGATTTGGGGTATCACGACTATTCCTGTTCGTGGCGGACGGTACCTGAGAACAGAGTTAATCGTGGTGTTCGTACGAGGTTGCTCGCAGCTGCGAATTTGCCTGTGACCTGCATTTGCCTGGGATTTCTTGATAGGCAGCGCAAGGGTGCGCAATTGTGGATTATCCAGGGACTTCGAAATGAAGACAAGGTTTGATGTGGCTGTAGCGAGGGCGGGCGTGTGAAGGGTTCCTGCTGGAAAGCGGGGGTGGAAGGAGCAAGAAGCGCCACTGAGGGCTGCAAGAGCTGCAAGGGCTGGCTTGGAGCTAGAGGCTAGTTGGATGCCAACCTGCACTGCCACTGAACATGATGCATGTTCCTCTGCTAGGCTAGTAGGCTTAAGCTTAGGTTGGCCTTGGCTGGGCACATTTTCCTCCCAGGGCTCAGCGATCCACCCGCAACCTCGATGTCAGCCAATCTCACTGGTGCCCCGTAGCTGCTACTGTACCGTTAACTGCTCGTGCTGCTCCCCCAGATACCTTCCCTGGCCATTGCTGCTAACTGCTTGATGCCCAAGAGAAAGCCAACTCTCATCACTATTATTCTGTCAAGGACTCCTTACCGATTGAGCACAAGTCTTGGTGCGGTCAAGAGGAATCATCCTGGTGCCAGATCTACCACCTACTCCGTCACTACTCCCTACGAGGTACCCTGTCACCTTCACCTACCTAGCGAGGCCGGTACTGGTACGTATTGCCAGCTTCCTGCCCGCCCCATCCATCCTCCTCTCATTTGCCGACTCCGATCCCAAGTCGCCCTGCCAACTTTTCGACTTTCCTATTTCCTGCAGCTCACCTGCAACTCTGGAACGCCTTGCACACCTTTGCCCGCCTTGCACACCACACCTGCAGCAGAACCCCCAGCTGGCCCCGGCCAACAGCCAATCCTGCATCTTGCGAATCGACGGCCCTTCCTTCCACTCTTCTTCCGTCTCGAAAGGACATTCTTCTCCAAAAATAATCCCATTGACTCTCTCAAGTCCTCCAACAAACCAACTACCGATCGGCCAGCTTTTCCCACCTTTCGACCGCCCTGCAGCGCAGCTTGATCGACTCCTGTGAAACACGCCTTGCTCGTCATCTGAACCAGTCCCTCAAAAATCCACAGCGCATGGTGTTTCACGTCTCAATCCTGCACTTCCCTTCCGTCATCTTCTCCATCGTCATCCATTCTACTGCTTCTTGACCTGGTTGTGGAAATGGGTGGAACACAGTATGGAAAATTCCAAGTAGGAGCCCTAGAGCAAGTTCTCGGTCTGCTGCTTTCCAAGCCACTGACCTACGGCTACAGGACTTCTGTCGCGATGCGACTCTGCCTATATGCAATGTCAGACCTTCCCCCTCCAGCGATAAGCTCCTGGCACTCTTCTAACTGCGTCTTAGATCCTTGTCACGAACAATCAACCACCGGGCCTTGCTTATGGCGGCTGTGTCCTGCGTGGAATAACACTGAGCAACAACCGCAACCTTGCCAATCTGGGATCGATACTACTCTGCGGTATTGCCATCGTCGTCACTCTGTTTCTGCTATGGCGCGCAGAGAGGAAGGCTGCTGCCGTCGGCCGCAGGGAAATGCAGATGTTTCTGGTCGGATACTTGATCATTGAAATCTGCGAAATATTCACAGTCGGCGGATTCCCATTGAACAACGATGTGCGGAAAGGTTTCACAGCCGTCCATCTGGCCGCCATCGTCGCTACCATGTGGATATTGCTCATGAATGCGGTAGTCGGCTACCAATTAGTGGACGACGGCACGCCATTGTCAATAGGACTCATCGGTTTCAGCGCCCTGGCATTGTTCATTGGGACTGGCTACATTGCACTCGACACTGCCTTTTCTTGGACCGGCTTTTGGGACGACTCGTTACACCCACCACATCTGAACTATGCCCTTTACACGTTGTATCAGCTGGCGCCCCTGGTCTTCATGTTCTTGTTCTTTGTGCTCGAGTCAATCCTGGTTCTCAAGATTCTCGGCGAAACAAAACCAATGCTGTATTTGGTTGCCGCTGCCCTGCTCTTCGCCATTGGCCAGATCTTCATGTATGTGATATCGAAGCACATATGCGAAGGCACGGATGGCGACATCAATGGCACCCTCTTCGAGACCCTCTTCACTCTCCTCAGTGTCGTGGCGGTCTTTGTCTTCTGGTCATCAATCACTGAGGACGACTGGCCGATTCAGTGATTGGAGCAGAACATGGCCAGGGACGTTGAAAATGCCCGTCGCAGGGAAATCTTGGTCCTCCGGAGCTTGCCGTGGAGTTTCTCTTCTTGGCCGGGCAATTGCACAGATAAAAGAAATGACTTTTAATATCTTGGGACGGCAAACCGATGCGAGACACCCCCTCCGACCCCGAACAAGGAGCGTCCTTGTTGTCTGTCGCAATACCCTAATGTTGCCCGATTGGAAGGCTTGGGCATGATAGCTTGACGAGTTACGCAGCGTTTGGCATCTGTGAAATGTGTATTGATCGCAATTTCCTGGGAGGTTTGCAGGTTGGAGTCGATTTCAGCGTCATCCACGGGCGAAAACAATTTTCCGTGGACTTGGGGAGTTGTGAGCTGGCATCACACAGCAGCCATTTGTGACCTAGACTAGAATATAGTAGTAGTCCAGAAGGATATATTTTCGTGCTGGACGGACAATTAAGACGTGATCTCTCTACATCCTTGGAATTGAAACCCGACATCGTCTGTAGTCCGACAGTCTAATACTCCTTCGAAAACTATGCACATCCATCCATCCATGACATCGAGCATGAAGTTTTCAGCAGGCATGGGTCACAAAACGAACAGCCGCCATGTGACACATCAGAGAACGAGCTTGACTCCGACGCAAGGTAACGTCCACTCGGAGCGCCCTAGTAAGTTCCTCAGCCAGTGGGTTCCGATTCCCGTATCGACAAGCGACGGCAAAGACGTCGTCGAAGCTGCTATTTCTGTCCTGGTCATTGTTGTCGCGGATGCGACCAACTTCTGCCGGGCTTCATCGAACAATTCCTCAGCCGAATGTTTGGCCGCATTCGCTAGGCCGGCGACCGTCGTCCGGGCAACATCTCTGAGGAAGTCACCCATTTCTGATGCCGCAGTGTCGTTGTTCGCCTGTCCCGCCATGTGCCCTACACTGCTCGGGAAGTTCGTGGTATATAACCTTGGGGTAAACCAGGCCGCAATCGTCTCATACGAGCCGTTGAGGTGCTGAGGTGGCAGGATGGGCAGGTCGATGAAGCACCGATTCGACCAGTGACATGACGATGCGAAGAGAATTATGAGGAGGAAGGAGCAATATATGCAGGGGCGGTTGAGGACGTATGTGAGCACGAGCAGCAGGATGAGGTGGATGGGCGAGAGACTGAGGGGGAGCGGGAGTAGAAGGAGAGGAAGGTATCTGGTCGCACGACAGCGGTTAGCATCTCTTTTGATAATCTCGCAAAGGGGGAACACGAACAGGGCGGCGGCGGACTTACGAGCGAAGACAATACATTGGCATCGAAATGTTGCTGTTAGATTTGGGAAAGAAGGAAAGGATACGGAGTAGGGAGGAGTTTGGTATTGCGAGGGGAAGCGAGCTTGGAACACGCTGGCTCAGGTTGGTGCTAAAAGTAAGGCTCAGCCAAGAGAACTAACTGGGATGTACCGGGTACGAGTAAGATGTACGTACTAAGTACGGAGGGTTAATAATGAGAGTACCTGGTACAGCAATGGCTGTTAATAATGATCAAATTGGAGCTGCCAGACTGCGGAGAAATTTTGACGGCGACGGACCGCTGCAAGCCCTCCTACTTGCTCCTCGCCGTCGTATCGGCTTTTCATTCACCTCACCAGCTTTCTTCCTTTAGATTTTCCTCAGGCTTCGTGTTTTCATCAACTCCGTCCACCGTGTGTTGAAAACCACCGCCTTCCTTTTCTTGCACTGCACGTTTTGGTGCCGCCATTCCTTCTCGCTTCTCCTCTGGTTCCCGGTGTAGCATCCGGGTGACGCAGAACCATTATCTCTTGCTTTCTACCCGGACTGTGAGCTCATCGGTCTGGACGTCCTTGGGCCGACTGGAATAATGTCGACCAACAACGATCTGCAAGCTCTATTTGCCAACTTGAGGCCGAAGCCTCGCGACTCCCCTGCCCCCTCCCACACGTCAAACCAGCCCAACTCTGCAGGTCAAACCTCCCCGTTCGCTGGCGTTTCGCCGTTGCCTTCAAGTCCTCCGCCCTTCACCTCAGTTGCGAACGAAAGCTCTTCGAACCAAATGGCGCAGCCTGTCGCGTCGGGCCCCTCTGCTACGGCGCAGTCCTTACTGAATTTGCTGAATTTTGGGCCTACTGCTTCTACGCTTTCAAACGCCAACTCAAGACCGCTTTCTTCTGCCGGAAATGCTTTTGGGCCTCCTGAAGAGAAGAGTGACAGGCCGGCAGCAAATGCTGCGGGATCAGGACCGTCGACTTCGGCTTCGGATCTCATCGCAAAGTTCATGTCATCTTCGCCTGCTCTAAGCAGACCAACAACGCAATCCCCACTGAATCTGGAGGATCAAGGTGGTGGCGGCGGCGGCGGCGCTGCCAATCGACCACAATCTGCAAGTGGAAGTGGCCGTGACGCATCACAGGATGCACTACTCAAGCTCCTCAGCAGAACCCACCCCGGCAATTCCATCAACGCACGCCAGAATTCCGTTGACGGGACGCAGTCCCAATCACCAGGCGCCAACTCTGATGTCAAGTCCACAGAGGTGAAGCCGGCGAAGACAGAGTCGCCCGCTCCTTTGTTTGGTTCCAATCCCACGGCAGAGGGGCCTATATTCGGAGCTCTCGGTACTGACTCTAAGCCACCAACCCAGAATCCACCCCTGTTCACGTACACCAACCCTTTTGAGGCCTTGCAAGCCTCTTTGAATGCGTCCCGGGCGCAGACTCCTAAAGATGGAGCTCTCGCTGTCAAGCCGGTCAATATCGATGTTCCTCAATCAAATGTCGAGTCTGGTAACGATCTCTCTGAAGACACAAATTCGCGCATGGCCACAGATGACCAGGTGGCCAAGAAGAAGATACTCACACCTAGACTAACTTTAGCACCAAAGAATACCGCAACTTCGCGCGAAGGTTCAGTCGCTGCAGCAGCTCGGGAGAATGGAACACAAGACGCCGCTCTCGTGGAAGAGATAGGAGCCTCCGCCCCTGCGGAGAAACTGCCGACGGACGAAACGAAAGAGGAGATTCCCCTGGACCATGGTAATGGTGTGAAACATGATGAGAGCTCTGGTGCGGAGAAGACTGTTGACCAAGCGCCCGATGCCGGTGATGAATGGGAAGATGCGGAAGAGTCACCAAATAAGGAATCCCCCAGGATGGTCCCTGTTTACAACTTCCCCATCAAACCATTTGTCTCGATCACCTTGCAGTTACCCCAATCTTCGGGCGTCGGCATTAGAGACGACAGTGTCATGGAGATATCAAGATTAAAGAAGGATTTCGATCAACTAGACCGTTCTCTAGCAGCTGCGACATCCAGGTACATCACCTATGCCTTGGCCAAGAACGGCGGAATGCGTATCATCAGGCAAGACGACGGTAGTGATCGACAAGTCTTCAAAAATTCTCATGACCGCATATTTAATGTCGCTCTTTGCACCACCTCGTCTGCTGGCGAGCCATCTGATGACCAGGCGCTTCTCGGGACCGGAGTCAGCGGTGCCGTGTATTATGCAACAATCAACAAGGACGGAAACGACCTGTTTGAGAAAAACAAACTTGACGCCGAGAGCCTCATTTTTCCGCCTTATCCACCAGCCGACGAGAATGCATCTGGGGGGGTGCTCAAGACGCGTGCGAAAAGAAGCTCTCGCCACCCCGAGTTTTTTGCAATTGGACGCGGCAAGGCAATCCATCTCGTCTGGCCAGCAACTGCAATTTCTCCACGATACGGTGTCAGCGAGCAGAATCGGCGTGTCGATGTTGATAAGTTCTTTCAAGAGCGATCGCTGCAAATCTCAACTGGGAAGGCCGGCAAAGACTTCACCTTCAGCGAGGATGATACTTTGATTGTTTCTCTGGACAAGACTGGAAGATTACGATTCTGGGATATCCGTAAACTGATTGACGAGTCAAATACTACCTCTACTCGACTGGCGAATATGACCGTCGATCTCCCGATATTGTCCCTTTCTACCGCTTCCCCATCAGAGAAGTCATGGCCGACGTCTGTTCTCTTCGTAGACAAGGCTCGTCCATACGTCAAAGGAGGAGCGCTGCGCTATGTTCTTGTCGGGCTGAGGCAGAATCACACTCTTCAGCTCTGGGACATTGCGCTCGGCAAAGCCGTTCAGGAGATCAATTTCCCTCATGAAAACGAGACTGACGGCATCTGCAGCGTGTGCTATCACGCAAACAGTGGGATTATCGTGGTGGGGCATCCGACCAAAAACTCGCTCTTTTTCATCCATCTCTCTGCACCGCGCTATTTGCTTTCTACATCTCTGACCCAGGCTGCATATGTGCAACGCATTGCCGCGAAAGATCCGGAATTACCGAAGCCTGATTCTACAGCCTGCATGAGTGGCATTCGTGAAATGTCACTCGCAGAGAAAGGTCAGCTCAGAAGCGTTGAGATCCTTCCGATTTATCGGACTGCTGAGGAACAGAGGGCGGTTGATGAAAAGACGCCTCTCTTTGAGCTCTACGTAGTGCATTCAAAAGGTGTCACTTGCCTCAACATTACGAAGGAGGACCTTGGCTGGGATGCAAATAGTAAGGTGGTCCATGGAATCGATGCTGCGAAGGAAGGATACGTAAGGTTGAAAGAATTACGACTCGGGACCGTTATCGAAGAAGGGCCTCGAGATAAGAGCCCGACCGAGGAAGTATTAGGATCAACTAGGAGTTTGAAGAAGAAGCAAGGAAAGAAAACTCCATCTTCTGCCGAACGAGCGGAGACCATGCAGGTTGAAGATTCGGAACCTGGGAAACCAATGCCTGCACAGTCTCTCAGCAATGGCGCTGAACCACTCGCAGAGATGGTCAACATTGAAACTCCGTTGCCCAAGGAAAACAGGAAGAGTAAGAAGAAAGCTGCCTCATCCGCCGAACCACGGCTCCCTGAGAAGGTCGCGCTCACCGAACTATCTGCCAAAACTGCCTCAACAGCTGCGGTCACCCCCGCACCTGCAAATGTGCCTCCTGTTGAAGACCAAAACTCTGCGCCAGCAGCTGCGGCTGTCCCTCTCACATCAACCGCAGAAGCATCCGCCAAACCTGAAGCGCTCACTGTGGGCATTTCCGGGGGCTGGCTAGACAAGGAACTCAAGAAGGTCGAGAAGGCTGTATCTACGGAGTTCCGAAAAGAGATGGACTCTCTTTATCAGAATATCCAGAATGACAGAGCCGTCCAGGACTCTGCTGCCATTGCCCGTCAGGAAGCTCTCCTTCGCTTAGTCTCGACCACTTTGAGCAACAACGTTGAAAAATCACTTTCTCGCATCCTTTCGGCTCAAATGCAACAATCAATTGTTCCAGCACTCACGGGGGCGACGTTGCAGGTGGTTGGAAGCCAAGTGGGGGAAGCTGTGGCAAAGTCTCTCCATTCCCTGGTGCCGAAGGAGCTGGCTGTGCAACTGCCTGTTGCCATCAATGGAGTCCTCCAGAGTCCCCAGATGACCCGGACAATATCAGACACAGTCTCGCAAAAGGTTTCAAAACAGATCGAGACGCAACTGAACGATCTTATGCAGAAGCATGTGGTACCAACATTCAAGACCCTCGCAGCCTCAGCAGCGGAAAAAGCCGCATCTGAGGTTGAAGTGCGTTTACGGAATGAGATTCGTCAACTGGAGAATGACCGACGGAATGACCTGACGAGGTTAGAAAAGCTGGGCCAAGTGCTCCAGGCAACAGCTGAGGCACTACAGCAGATGTCCGACACCCAAGTCGCTTTCCAGGGTCAGATCCTAAAAGATCGTCGTCAGCTCGCACTGGTCGGAGAAACCAGTTCATCTCCGGTGCCTCGTCAGGTGTCAACAGCTCGGATGACACCATCACCTCGTGGCATCCCGAGAACAACAGTCCAGCGACAGAAGACGAAGGAGGAACTAGAATTGGAAGAGATCAGCCAATTGATGAATGAGGGCCGTTACGAGGAGGCTTCAATTAAATGGCTACAGTCGACCCAACCGTCGGAGTTGTTCGACAAACTGTTCATCCACTTCACTCCGGAGTATCTAGCAACTGACGTCTCACCGCTTATCGCCTTTTCAATCGCCGTCACCATCGGCAATTCTCTGGCAACAAATACGGCACAACGACTCGAGTGGATATCTGCTGCATTCAATGCGGTCGATCTTGCTGTAAGTGCTGGTCAATGCTTGTTCTGTCTTGTCCTCACACTTTTGCTTTAGGATCCTGAAATCTCCGATCTAGCGCAACATGCACCGGCACTTCTGAGCTCCTTGATCCAGAAACTCGAGCGACTGTACATGACGATCGCAGAACGGGATCCGACCGATCCAGCGCTGCAAATCATGCCCGTTGTTTCAAGGAAGGCGAAGGAGATGAGGGCCACTTTGGAGGGACCAGTACGGCGTGGTGTTGATTTTTAGCTTTGCGATTGGGTCTAGAGGGTTTGAAAAGCTTCAGATGCCCCGAAGAGCAGCAACAACCGGGCTCGTCACCGGAGTAGAGGATAAGATGAATATGAAGGATTGATTGCTCTGTGATCACAGGATACATTGAAACTGCTTTCACGAAGTGGTCCCAAGATGGTGAAAGTTTCGGCGTTCAGAGTATGTGCTGAAATCCCTGTTCTCTCTTTCGCCACTAGCTCGACTTTATGCCGGGCTCCCTGTTCACATCTGATGTAGGCTCAAGGTGGCCATGACAGCTTTCATACAGCTTTGGCCTTTGAGGATTGCATCAGATCCCGAAGCGCCTGACGCCCAGTGCTAGCGGCCGACATATCAAAATCCGCCCAGTCTGAACTTTACCCTCTCCCTTTAAAGCGAGACCACTTGCCACTGCTCAAGGTCTCGTCCCATGTTTGCCTGCTGTTTCTCCTTCTCTACACTGGGGCAAGGATGAAAGCCTACTCGGATCTCTTTCTCTAATCGAAGGCTGGACAGCACAAGCTTGCCTGCCAGGTGGCGTTTGACTCCTCTACCTCTTTACGCCAACAACAACGCTTTCAGGACCAAAGATCCGAGAATTGGCGGTACTACGTCTACCCAGAGAAGAGAACAGAGTCGGTCCCTTGATGTGGCGTGGGCAATAAGGATCGGCAGAAAGGACCGGCAGAGGTGAATCAAGTCCGCTGTCGTGGTGCAACCGTCTCCTCGTTTTTCATCTCTGACTGGAAAGTCTTAGTTCATCGCTTCTTTCTTTCGCGCCTCGCACGAACTCGAACCCGCAATATCTGGTCGAGGCCTGGCATACCCTGTTCTGAAGACACTTCTATCGTTCCTGGCCCTTCGCTCACTCTAACTTGACTTGTGACTAGCACTATGCCTTCTCTCGGTAGGGAAAATTGGATAACGGGTGGACATGGACGAGAATATTCTCCAAAGTTTGGCATCTCAGAGGTCGCAAGTCGCCCATTAACTCTTCCTGACGGTGACCCCGACCCGAACGCCTCTCGGGGTTTGGAAAAGCAAGAATATGAGTGACATTTGCCACAGATATTACACTACAAGTTAGGCTTTGCGGAGACTCCTGTGAGTGCATTTCCTGCTTGACAAAGTGGCAGTTCCTTCGTCGACAGAGTTATTGTCCTCAGCGCTAACCATGGTGTTTAGATCAATGCAACGTCCAGGATCGCGGCTGCTCTCCGTGCAGGTAACGTACAGCAACCGCGCGAACTTAAGCATCGTGCGAAGAGGTGTGATGTGCTCAACGGAGTCTTAAGAACACGGCAATACAGTTGAGATCAGAACCAATGAAGCGATGAGTGAATCATGAGGCGGTCAGCAGATCGAAGATGTTGAGAGTGAGGCTGGAGTGAGCACCACAAATCCTTCGGCCAAATCGCACATGGAGAGCACGCTATCATCTGAAAAGATCAGAGCACATAAAGGTGCAATTACCCTCGCTCTTGGCGAAAGAGACAACGGTAGCGACGAAAGAAGACTCCAGGTCCGAGAAGAAGCTGGGCGCGACAGCAACAACAATGAAGGATATGCAGACAAAAGAAGGACGGCTGTGATTGTCTCGACCACAGAACCCCAGTATACCCCTGCGGCCAAGAGTTCAAGCGTATCCGATCCAGAGGGGAAGCCACGTGTCTCTCACTCATCCAATATTGCTGGGTCCAAGGATCCGCTCCCGCCAGAACCGCGTCCGGTCCATTTCAGTGAACGAGTCGATACAGATAGACAAGCACGCGAAGAAGACCAATACCATATCCGCACCAGGAGAAGAAGGCCCATCACAGCCGAAAAGGACAAGCGATAGTACTCTTGCCAAGGCAAATGAGAGTGTTAACGCGGAAAATAACCAAATCTCTGTTGCAGCTCCGTCTTACAAGCCTAGATCATCAATTAAGACATTGAGGGGCCAATTAAATTATGATACTGCAACACTGGTTCGATGAACGACAGCCTCACTGGAGGAAATCGATCAGCGCCCTGGTGATGACGCAAGAGCTAGACAATCTCAACATCATGTCTTACAAAAGCCGCACAAAGACCGAGCACCACTCCACGAGAAGACGTTCAACAAGCAAAGTAACAGGTCCGCGGATCTCTAATTTAGACGGTCCTAAGTCGTTTCAACACACAAATGCCACCCCGGCAGCACGAACACTGAAGTAAGTCGACCAACCAAGCAAACATCCTCCCGTCTACATCGTCATTGAGGGTTCGGACAGCGAGCACTACCCGAAGCATACTTGCAGGGGTGTAGTGTGCTCAATAAGAAGATTAAGAAGGACGAAGTCTTCGGTTAACACCATGAAGACGCCTGTTACAACCGATAGAGGGGGGCTAAATGTTCGATCTCGAAGAGTGACAAGGGCAACGATGACGGCGCCCGATTCTCAACTCGACGGAGAAGCTTGTCAAGTGCACCATCTAGGATCAACGCCGAATTTCCTCAGGCGAAAAGATCAGGCGTGAATGCCAGTAACAACACAACAGACGGGAGTCTCACCAAAGCACGAGACAGTGCGCAAGGTGCCTCGATCCATAATGGGACTCGTTACCGAATGCATGCCAAAGACACTTGCATGTCGAAAGCACAACACAGCTCCGTAATAGATAAGATCTCGGGAAAAGGTCCAGAAAGCGCGCAGAGAGAGAGGCTTTGATGACAATGCCACTCATATTCCCGCCGATACTGTGAACCTGAACGCCGACATATTTCGATCGATCGGGGCGGTTCCAAGCAGGAGCCATCGTGGAACTGACAGCGCAGTTCGGAGAAGAAATGTGAGACAAGAGTTGTCCATGCTCCGACAGTTATTGTCATCATTTCGGCCTCAGCCAAAGTCTCTCGTTCAAACGTAGCAGGCCCTAACTAGGAGTCTGAAGACAATTCTTTTCCGCCGGAACGGCGCAAGCCACACCCCATAAGTGTTACAACGACGGGGGGGGAACACGACGTGGAGATGGATGCCATACATATCTGCCACTGCAGCGAATGTTGGTCTCACACACCTAAGAGGCTCCCCTTGCCAACGAAGCAGAATCTTTCTGGTTTGTTGACGCCCTTCACGCCTTAGGAGGGAAGTCCCTAGAGCTGTTCCGAAGGCGCACACCAACCTCCATTGCGCCCGATCAAACTGGAAAGTCTGCTCGAAGAAGGCGAAGCCCAAGAAAACAGAGGCCCCAGCAGAACAACCACGAATGACGGAAACAATGCTTCCAGCTTTCGATATCCTGAAATGCGAAAGTTGACGCAGGCCGGAAGAATATTGAAAAGGTCGTCGAAGAGCTTCTGCGCAGTTCCCAGACACTCGAAAATAGCTTGAAGGCTCCGTGTGGAGACAAAAGATCCCATGCTGCAGCGTTCAATGAGCACAGTGGCCCCGGAAAAGGGGGTAAGAGGAAGAAGGATAGTAGTAAGACCTCGTGCAATCTTGTGGAAAGTACAAACTGGGGTGCTACATACAACGGGGCCCGTAACACGAGATAACGAGGTACTTGGAGAACGCAAGATACATATGTCACAAATGCATATGATCGGCGACCCTTCGACATATCTACGTGGATGAGGTACGCGTGCTCTCCACTGCAACGGCCGATGTCCTCGCCATCTCAAGTCTTAGACGACGATATGCATCCATCCGTATTCATTGCATGTCCATCAAGGTCTAGGCCGAAGACAATGCAGGTTTTAATACAATGGAACAATGAATCGCATAAAGGAGGGGCCCCTAATGTGAGGAAACTCTGTATAATGGGACAGGAGGATCAGCACCGATCGCCGTGACTTGGAGGAAGCAGAACATGAATTTGCATTGAACTGGACTCTTTGCTGAAGGCCATCAAAGACACGAGAGTACGTTGAGAGATCTACGATCCGCCTTGCGAATCACACGTATGTCACATTCATTCCACTTCTCGGAAATCTCGGACCGTGATCTCAGCTCACTCCTTTTTTTTGGCTTCGGTCTTTCTTTCTACGAAAGGGGGAAACACTCTTACACATTCCCTTCTTCCCCATCCCCTCCATTTTCTTTTCCCTTTCCCCTATTCTTTCGGTCAGGCAATCACAGCACGACCGTCTCCGCATCAACCACGCCGAACAGCTCCTGCATGGGGTCCTTGTAGTCGGTGGCGAAGCCGCAGAACGGTGGACTCACGCCGTAGCCGAGCAGGCGCTGGGCCTTAGTGGGCAACGAGCATGCCACCGAGGGCGGCACCGTCAGGTATTGGTTTTCGACTTGGCGGTACATTCCTGCACAGACACATTGGTTAGATTGTGTAAAGAAAGGATGGAGAGAGTGAATGAAGGAGGGGGGAGATAGGGGAGGGCAGTTGGAATGTGCATCTTGATTTCCCGGGTCTACAGTTGTCGTAACTGAGGGGGGTTGCGGTCGATAGAAGGGTTGGCAAGGCACGGGAAACGAATCCTGGAGAAATATGGTGATCGAGGAGGCCAAAGGAAGAAATGTTCAAAGAGAAGGGGGCTAGAATAAGTAGAACAAGGGGGAAAGAGACATCAAAAAACAACCTTTTGTGAGAAAGATACCGACTGTCTCCCGCACTTGGTCTCTGTTTTTAGAAGATTGGTTAGTTCTGATCCACATTGGGAGACTCCAAGGGCGAAATGAATAACTCTCAAACCCGGGCAGGGTACTGGCGAAACTGGATAGTGGAAACTTGCGTTGTTGTATTAGCACCACCCGCATGCTAGGTGCGAAGTAGAGTATGTCAGTCCTCTGGTAAGGACGAAAGATGAGCGGGCTGAGCACTTACGTATGTACTCCCAAGGAAGATAGCGGCATCTCCTGGCTCCAGCTCAGCGGGAACAGCCTCGTGGTCATACGGGCAGCGGTCGTCCTTCCACCGATGCGAGCCCGGGATGAGAACGGTCGCGCCATTCTCTCGCGTGGTCTTGACCGTCGCAGCCACACAGCCAATCAGCACCGAATCATGTCCCGACCGTATGTGGTAGTCGATGTCGTCGCGATGGAGGCCCTGCTGGCGACTGCCGGGATTGACCTGGAACCCCACGGTGCTGGAAATCTGGGGCTTGGAGACGGCCACCTGCTTCTCCTGGCCGATCCAGTACTCGAATTTGGAGGTCAGGAGTCGGGACGCTACCTCGTTGAAGAGCGGATTTAGGGCGAGATCCACGCATGTGGGCGATATGCCCAACAGGCCGATGGCTCGCCGCGTGGTCTTTGGGAAGAAGCCGCTCTTGTCGCCGCCGTCGGCGTCAAAATGCGGTTGGAGATCACGCCGGATTTGCTCGGCCTGTTCGCGGCTGAGCAGGTTCGTCACGATGATAGCACCATCTCGTTCGAGAACCTCTTGGACCAAGTCGGCCGTGGTGCTGGGGTCTCGGGCGTCGACCCGGGTGAGGAATGGTGTTGCAGGCGTAACAGTGGAAGACACCGAGTTCGCCATATCCTTTACGGCGGGAACAGGATCTTCATGTGGTGAGTTGAAGAGTTTGTACACACAGGCAGCGCCGCTGACAGGGTCTCGGGACGAAGAAGCAGAAAAATACACTGAATCACATATAAACCATTGATATCAGGGCAATGAACCCTGATAAAAAGGAAATTGAGACACTACGCATGCCAGAAGCACTTCAGTAGCCTCTAACTATTTTCTGTCTGGGACATCCCAGCTAACCATACAGACTCTTCACATGAACAGTAGTTCCGTCGTTCCGCATGAAGGGATGATACGCAATGTTGGGAAGTTAAGTGACCTGGACGGGTACCACGGCTGGGGCCGGGGGGGAGGCCATAGCGCCACAGTATAATGCTGTGATAGGTCAAGGAAAAGTACACCTCTTTGGGAAACCGCCAAAGGACGCCAAAAAAGGGTGGCGACCAGTCCTAGACGACAATCTAGATCTTGCATCATCTCTGTACACTTGGTTGCCGGCATCCGTAGGGAACCAACTCGGTCGCCAATATGGTTGCAAGTGGATCGGGATTGTTCAAGAGAAGATGTCGAATCCGGGGGATGATGGCCATGAGTTGAAGTAACCGGGGGAAAGATCCAGACCCAGTAGAATCGGTAAGTTGTTTGTCGCATTTCTGACAGCCAGGATGACTAACAAAGCGGTTCGTCCGCACATATCCGATGCTTAGCAGTCGGAGCCGAGGGCTCGTGGTGGTCGGGAGAGATGTCGGATGTGCAACAAGACCGATAGCCATATCAGCTCAGCTCATTGTGGAGGATGTCGAATTGCCTGTAACAAAGACTGGAGATCGCCCTTGCTATCTCTTCCAACTCGCTCTTCGTATGTACCAGTCAATCTCTTACCGTTGGTCGACGGGCGCTGAATTTAACCTGCCGTCCGCGCACAAGTCTCCAAACTCTCCTTCTGATTGACCACTTTAGTTTTCGTAACGGGCATACTTGATGTTGTTGATTAATCATAAAGGGCACTCCTCACATTAGATACATTGGGATGGGTGGGAAGATCAACAATACTGTTACCGAGTGCTCGGTGATGTGGCTACGCAACCGAGTGGAAGGTTTGGGCTAAGCTAATATAGGAAAGTTCGAGGCTGACGCTTGCCACTTTGACCAATCAAAGTAAGAGTCGCAGATCTTAACCCTACAGTGTGTTCAGCCTCGTATGGCTTGGCATTCTCAGAGTCTTCTGTCTTCATGTATACTTCCTACATCGAACAGATATTCACAGACTCACGAGACCAAAGACACTCGGTGCCAGTCAAGGGTAGATACATTCGGCACTAAAGAGGCTCGTTGTTTTCCACCCACCGCTTCACCATCGATACTCATAAGTCGTTAGGATCATCACCAACCATGCCTGAATTGTTCAACGGTTTTTGTCATGGCGATGACACAAGTTCAAGAACCACCGCCTAGTTTCATGAGTTTGACAAAATGTAGCTTTGCCCCCATGCTCCAAAGTCCTTCCTCCGAGCTGAAAGCCAGATTTGATTCAAAATTTGTGCGGGAAAAAGAAGGGAGGACCTATATGAATTCAACCGTAACGTCGGGTGTTGCGCCTGGGAGCCTGGACCTCGTCTTCATCGTCATCACCGGGGTCATGCCATTTTTGACTCTCTGCATGTTTGCGTTTCGACGTTGGTTGAGAATGACCACATGCGCGTGCGCTCCAAGGTTGTGGTTTCGACGAAGCGTGAGACTGGGGTGTCACCGGCTTCTTGAACTTTGCCAGCAATTCTTTCCTCGAGTGCTCGTTGTCGTCAGAGTTTCCGTTTACTGTAGTGCTGGAATTCTTCAGAGCCTGCGCCGCGTTAGCCATTATTATTGTTTCGCGATCCGCTTCACCAGGCGTAACTTGCGACCTGCGGTCGAAGTTCATCGACGGTGCGTCAGCTTCAAGTGATATTGCTTTTCCATCACTCTGTGATGATGAGTGGCGTGGGTGCTTGACTCTATTCGACCCTTGGTGAATGGTATGATGCAGATCTTTCACGTTCTTGTCGCCCAATTCGCGATAGGTAGATTGGTCTGTCTCATCTTGGCTAATCAAGGTAGATACGTCTCCCATGTCTTTGGCCGCTTTGTTGAGCTGTTCTTCGAACCGCTTCTCCAAAGCTTCATGCTTAGATCTAAACCCTGCATTAATGCCCTCAGTCTTCTCTTGATCAGCCGCAATATTTCCAACCGTGACTCGTAAGCTTTCCAACTGGTTGCGTATGTCTTGCTGGTTGGCTACCACTTCGTGAAGCTGTCTTTGGACGCGTGACAGAAGTGTATTTAGGACATCCACCGTCTCACGAGTGGTGGTAATACGCTGGTCGAGTCCGAAGTACAAAGGCGCCAGCTTGTCGCAGTTTCCCAACAAGATAGAATCCTGCTTCTCAACAGGTCGATCTATATCTGATGGTGCTTGCCTTTCACGTGGGCCTTGAACTTCCGATCCCCATTTTCTGAGTTCATGCTGTATCTGTGCCAGCTCGCCAACTAGGTGCTCATCATGCTGCTTTTTGGGTTCCCGAAAGGTCTCAGCGTACTTGGCGACTTGACTCTTGAGTATTTGATTCTCTGTTTGTTGCTTGTTCGCTTGTTCCGCAAGTTGCAACCGGAGAGCTTTCAGGTTTCCGCCATATTTCTCTGCAAATTTCTCTGCAAACTTCTCCTGAATAATTGCCAAGAAATTTTTGAGCTTGTCCATGCGAGCGGTGTGCATAGCCGAGTCCTGTACAAATTGCTGCCGAAGCAAGTCGAACTCTGCAGGAAGATTTCGACCGTCCTGCCAAATTGCCCTAAGCTCTGCAACATCTTGCTGGGTCAACTCCAGGTTTTGGTGGTCTGCCTGAACCTGTGCGCGGACTGCCTTCAAACTCTCCACTAGGCCTTCTATGTTAGTCAATCCCGTCTGCAGTGAGTCCAAAGCTTCACGTGTCGGCTGTTGACTGAGTTTTGTCTGGGTCGATTTCAATCTCTCAGAAAGATCCTCGAGCGAGGACGCCACTTGCCCTGACCGCTCTTTATTTTCTTCCTTCAATGAAGTGAGCTCACTCTGCACAGCAGTAACTCGTACCCGTTCGTCTGCGGCGGACGCCTTGGAGGTTTCGACAGCTTCTCCGAGTGTTGATACCTGAGAACGAAGCAGGTCTAAATCGGACCGGAGAGCGAAACAATCGTCCTTCAATGTGGAATGCATATTTTCAAATTGGAGATGAATGCTCCTACGGACTCGATCAATCTTCTCAAGCGCTTGTTCTTGTGGTGCTTTTGACTCGTTTTCGATCTGCTGAATCTCTTTCCTCAACTCTGATATAGATGCAGATACGCCTTTGAAGCCTCCAAGACATGATTCCATCAACGCTGATTTCTGTTCTAAACTTTCTACTCGCTTCCGGAGTGTTTCATTCTGCGAATTCAGCTCTTCTAGTCTTTGCAGACATCGGAGCAGTTCATCAGACTGGGGACGAGACGAGGCTATTGCTTCCGATTCCGAGCGGAGACTTCTCACGCTCTGCTCAAGGCTGGCCACATGCTTAGACAAAGTCCTGATTTGGTCATCCTTGGAGGACTCGAAGGTTTCTCGCAGTATTCGCCTGAAATTGACTGCGGATGCCCGTGCCGTCACTATGGAGGCGTCTCCCTCAGACTTGGCTGTCTGATACTCAGCGTCGATTTGGTTCTTCCTTTGTAGGGACTCTTCAATGAGTATGGGAAATTGATTGCTCCTTTTCTGTTCTCTTTCGTGCTCCTGTTGAGCGCCCTTGGCCTGATGTCTGAGAAAGTCTAACCTGCGTGTCCAATAGTCGACTTTGATGACGTCTGCGACATGAGAGAAAAAGGCATTTTCGAATTCATCTGGTTCGGACGGCGCGTTAGGGCTTTTCAGCGAAGCGGTTAAAGGGGTATCTTCTCCTCTACTATCGACGGAGTGATCTCTAACAGCATCAATACCGTCGGCCGGATGCATGGAGGAGGCGCTACCTCTGGACCGGGGATCTCGTGAAGGTAAACGAGCATTAGAAGCCGGAGCCGAAGCCAAACTTTGCGACGATGACTTTTGCATATTGACAGTACAATGATCACCCCGTCCGCCTGAGTAGCGTGTAGAGACACCGAATGTCTGGCAGCGGAGCTGCACAACTGAGATATCGTGCGCTCTGGTCCATGAGTCGAGAGGAGAAGTAGCGGATGATGGTCAAGGGGATTGGCAAATCTTGAGGCGCAGCTTCAGAGGGGAAAACTTGAGGAAACCTGCCCGCAGGGAATTGAAATACAACATCTAAATGTGTTGATAGTGTGAGACAATGTTGCTGCTTACTCCAGTTGTTGTTTGCAGTTTGCCATCCATTTCCTCAATGCAAAGGACCTGATCGTTAGGCCGCTGGCTCGCACCCAGTGACGCAGGTTGCGCAGACTCGTGTAACGCGTCTCCCGTAAAATGGAAGGTTGTCCGACTCCGCGAACTTTTTGAGATCCTATTCCCGTTCGCCGTCTTGCCCACACCAACCCATCGAGTAGTGGACTGGCAATATCAGCGCTTGGTCCTTGTCAATCCGCCTTCGCCAGAGTGGCCGCTTCATCTTTTCACTAAGCTCTTTTGTTCTTACAAGATGGCGGCGGTGAGTGCTCCTCAGTTGTTTTGGTTGTTGCTCCACTGACTCGCCCTTAGCCTATAGCAACCGTATCCGAGAGTCGCGAGGTTCGCGGCCTTAATCTCGTCGCTGCCCATTCTCACATTCGAGGTCTCGGCGTAGACCTCGCGACCTTAGAACCGAGAGCCGCATCCCAAGGGCTAATCGGCCAAGAGAAAGCGCGGAAAGCGGCGGCAGTCATTCTACAGATGGTGAAAGAAGGCAAGATTGCTGGGAGAGCAGTTTTGGTTGCTGGTCCTCCAAGCACGGGGAAAACTGCAATCGCGATGGCTATGGCACAATCCTTGGGTCCCGATGTCCCCTTCACAATGCTTGCCTCTTCCGAAATCTTCTCCCTCGAGATGTCCAAAACCGAAGCCCTAACACAGGCATTCCGCAAGTCCATTGGTGTGAGGATAAAGGAAGAGAGCGAGATCATTGAAGGAGAGGTGGTTGAGATCCAAATTGATAGGAGCGTTTCAGGGGTGAGGCACAATTCGACGGTCCACTCATGCTGTGATTGACAAGATATCGCAGGGCAATAAACAAGGCAAACTCACGATCAAAACAACCGATATGGAAACAGTCTACGACATGGGCACTAAGATGATCGATTCAATGACCAAGGAGAGAGTCATGGCTGGCGACATCATCTCAATTGATAAATCCTCGGGGAAAATTACGAAACTAGGGAGATCATACACGCGCTCACGAGACTACGATGCAATGGGTGCAGATACTAAATTCGTGCAATGTCCGGAAGGAGAACTTCAAGTGCGGAAAGAGGTTGTCCACACCGTCAGTTTGCATGAAATCGATGTCATCAATTCGAGAACACAGGGGTTCCTTGCCCTCTTTTCCGGCGACACGGGCGAGATACGAAGTGAGGTACGGGATCAGATCAACACCAAGGTCGGAGAATGGAAAGAAGAAGGGAAAGCCGAGATCATCCCCGGTGTGTTGTTCATTGACGAAGTGCACATGCTTGACATCGAGTGTTATTCATATATCAATCGTGCCTTGGAAGCAGATCTAGCACCGATCGTCATCATGGCAAGCAACCGAGGAATTACTCGCATTCGCGGGACGACATACAGCTCGCCGCACGGCCTCCCGTTGGATTTCCTGGACCGACTCGTCATAATTAGCACTCAGCCGTACTCGGCCGACGAAATTTCCCAAATCCTCGCCATTCGTGCCCAGGAAGAAGAAGTCGACCTCTCAGCAGACGCGCTCGCCCTTCTCACCAAAATCGGCCAGGAATCTGGTCTCCGATATGCGAGCAACATTATCACCACATCCACATTGCTGAGTCAGAAGCGAAAGGCAAAAGAGGTCGGCATTGAAGATGTCCAACGAAGTTACAGATTATTCTACGATCCTGCGAGATCAATCAAACTTGTCAACGATTTCGAGAAAAATTTCATCAGTGACGCTGGTGATGTTACTTTTGCGGTCAACGGTTCCAATGGAACGATCGGCGATGCAATGGACACGGCGTAAAAGAATCACGCAACACCTAGCAAATCCCAGCTGCATTTGATAATCGCTCTCCTTCCAGTCACAGGCCCGGCGCTGGAACCATTCCCATGTCCGGACGTAGTCCGTGAAGGATGCACCAGAGCAACCGTTGCTGCAGCAGTGCGTACTGACATGGGCGCCCCGCTGCGATCCACTTCGTTGGTGCACGGTGGAACAGAATCAAGAATCGAGGCCGCGAGCTTGCAATCTCTCTCCATTGAGTCGTAAATGCTGGACGAGATTGAAAACTTAGTTCAGGATGGGGAGGGGGCTTTTTGTTGCCGGGTACTAGTAAGTGTCCAGCAATGGAGGATCATTCTAGATGCTTTGCTCTTCTTTTGGTGTCTGGACTGATTTGTAGTCTCAGAAGCGCCTAGGTAATGAACGCCGTATGCCATGTTCGGTCCAGCATCCTCCTCGTCACCTCTCCAGGTCAAGGATGTATCAGACATTACAGACTTCTCCGGCCCTCGAACTGATGTTACTGTGAGGCCCCAAAATGGGCTTATTGGCTGACTCAACATAATTCCTTGTTCTCATCAAGCAATCTTCTGTCTTCGATGCGGCTCAAGCTGTTGCTACCCCAGGCGAACTTTAGACTATGTGGGGTACCCCCAGACAAGGCTGTGAAGCAGCAATGGCTAGCCTTGGGTTACTCCACTTACTCATGTGGGGCGTTTTCTATTGATCGGTCTTTGTTTTGTATCCCGACACTGTTCGGAGCACAGATCTCAGTCACTGACTTCACTGCGGTCATATATCTATCTCCCATGGAGCACGGATGATTTTGGATGCTGGGAAGCAACAAAGGCACCAATACGAGGTACTGCTGGAGCGGTGGGGCTCCTTGAGGCCCGAAGCAAGAAATTTCAATGACTTTGGTTTGCGATGCCGCAATCAGGCGGCCCGGACTCCGAGTGTTTTGTTGATTCACGCTCCATCAAAAACACTTGGGTCTAAGATCGGTCCTCTAAACCATCATATACCACAATATGTCCTCCGCAAGAACTCACTAGGTGGCGGCCGGATGAACATCATTTGTCCAGCAAACGAGGACCAAGTTGCCATGACGAGGCAAAACTTCATTCCAAGTCTCCAAGTTCACTTGCTTTAAAGCTGACTTCCTTGCCCGTGGCAGAAGAAAAGTCTACCACAGTTATCATATTATCATTCACAAGGTGGAGAAGTAGTCCCCTTCGCTTGGAACGCACGCGGTACAGAGTTGGAGAATCTTGGAGAATATCAACATCAAGACTTGGCCGTGCCATATTTTAGCTTGAGGCTTCAGCTCATCTCCCCCTTTGCGGCCCTTTACTGGTGCCCTTTTCAGAAGGGAGTTTGCTGTTGGATACGAAGTAGTTGTACATGATGTCTGCTTCGCTCGAAGAAAAGACAACGGGCACCGAAGTCGAGGTCATTGAGCAATCTCGATCAGAGGCTCGTCATGTCTCTCTGTCCACGAAATCCTGCTGGGCCTGGACGATCCGTACGAAGCTGCCTTGGAAGATACGATAATCCAGAGAAGGCAGGAACCTTGACATGGACGACTCTACTTGCCATAGAAGCACCTGCACAGCAATATCTGACGTGTGGTTGACTTTAGTAACGTTTGCAGCAAGTCCTTGTCCTTCTCCTACCTGTCCAATCTCTTGTTGTTGTGATCTAGTCACTGGAATTCTAGATTCCATGGGCACCGACCTCGGCGATATTTCCTGGATTGTGGGCGGATGGAGTATTGTCCCCGCCATCAGCTTTTCCCTTGCCGCTTCCATGTCAGACGTCTTTGGTAGACGATGGACAATTGTTGCTGGCGAGGTTATTGCAATTGTCGGCTCTGTACGACGACACCACATCACCCTATTGAGGAAAAAGCTAACCACTTCTCCAGATCATAGCATATACCACCGAATCAACGCTCATGTTTGCCGCCGCGTCAACAACTATTTGATTTCGGGTGTGGTGTAATTTTCGTCAGCTATGCTGGAATCTAGGAACTTGTCCCTAGTCAGTGGAGGGCTGTACTGGATCAGGGGAAGCTCTCAATTCTTGTCCCACAACGCTGACATTCAGTTCAGGTCTCACCGAATGTGCCATAGTGTTACCGGGGCACTTGCTGTGACACTAACATCGACGAGTTGAATGCTACTATGGCCGCGAAATGGCGATGGTGCTATGATATTTTGAGCTCGAATTGCTTCTCTTTGTGTTGCCTGCGTGTCGTCTGCATCGTGACTGATTCGGGGCATCAATGCCGGTATCTTAAGTTTGATTGGGACCCTTCGTCTTCTATTGGCCGCGCATACGTCCGCAGCATGACTTCTATAAATCCCGGTAGCAGCAAGTGAAGGAAATCGACTATATCGGCTTTCTCCTATACACCGGTTGCTTGACCACCTTTCTGATCGGGCTGACCTTCGCCAGCATTGACAGACGTGTTTGGAACTCTGCGTCTATAGTTGCGCCGATCATTGTGGGTTTGCTGACTCTGGCTGCCTGTTTCGCTAAAATTTCATACTGGCGAAACAGCCATTCTGTTCGTACACTTTGTTCCAACCAGGGACGCCAGTTCACCGTGCTTCTGATGGTGGTCATCGTGGTTGGTGAGCACCCTTCAGGTTGGAATTCTGTAGCCGACAAAACATTGCTAATATCTCACAAAAGTGTCCATTTTTATACTTTCGCAGGCTTGCTGCCTCAGGAATCACTCTACATGTTCACAAGCAATCCCATCTCGGTTGGGGTCATCCCCTTACCCAATGGCGTCGCGCAGATCCTCTTTGGCGGTATCGCTACACTTTTCATGAGCAAGTCGGCCATTTTGAAGCTCCAGGTAATTGTGTTACTGGTCTTTCAGATGGTGTTTACGACTGCTTATGCTGGCGTGGTGCCATCCGATCGAGCGGGATTTGTGGTGTTCCAGTACCTCGGAACGGGTCCTTTTGCCATGATTACCCTACCTTGCTATGCGGTTGCGGGATTAAATGTTCCCTTGCGTCACTTGGGAATTGCATCCAGGTTAATTGGGACATTTCAAAGCGATGGCGAGAGCGTGGGCAATGCTGGTATGTTAGTCCCCTCTAGGTATTTAATTCCCCAACTTCACAAAGACCAAAGTCTTCAATATGATCATCAACGCCGTGGTCAAAAGCGAGATCCCGAAGAAGATTGCAGAGGTCACGACTGCTTACAGCCTTTCGTCAACGCAACTCGCGGCCCTTATCCCAGTCACGGCACTGAACGCTGTTGGGGTTCCAGTCGCCTTCGCTACGGTGCGGGAATAACTCCAGCGACTAAACAGGCGGCGGCAAGTGCATACAAACAGGCATATGCCTTCGCATTCAAGAGAGTGTTCTACTCCTTCATCCCCTTCAGAGTCATTGCGATCATCTGTGCACTCTTCACCAAAGGCCCCTCTCAATACTTGACCGATTACCTGGTTGTTCACACGGTTCGAGCAGGGGCCCTTGGAAAGACTCCCTACCTCCAGAATTCGGGGCTGAAGATGAAGCGAACCTAGGCTCCAACACAGATAACTCATCATGAGGCGCTATGCGGAAGCGGGCAATTTAAAAGACATGTCAGAGGATGAGAATCTACGTTCAGAAATATACTTGTGAACCAGACGAGAAAATGCTGTGCGCAACTGTCGTCAAAGGCGATGATGGGTCGTGGGCCCATCAGGTATATATTTTTGTTGCAGTATATAACCCCCTTTGGCGAGCTTTCGTTCTGCAAAGTGCAAGAGTCTTGTCCGGGTTCTGTCCCCATCAGCACCTGCCATGCCGTTGAGGTAGCGATTGACACGGCTGTCACCCGTCGTCTCGGGATTGGGTACTGGATAGAGCCGTCTTTACTGGATATTGCCGTCTTTCCGGCATCTTGCTTGGGTTGTAGCTGGGGATGTGGAGCTGCTCCGCAATTTCTCCCACGGGGCCATTTTTCCATCACCCGGTTGGAGAAGCGTAGATTCTAGGTTTCTACATAACCTGCCACATTCATGATGGGGCAGCTCGCCGAAAGGCGCCTAGCTGTGTTACTTGTACTAGGTAGACGGGATCGTGATGATTTCGCATCTGGTTAACCTCTGCATTTGCATTCAGCACTGACTGAAGAGGAAATACTCTCCTCAATGGCCACTAAGACCCTTCGCAATAAGAAATGCCTCTACTGTGAGAGGAAGTTTGGCAAAGCGGAACATCTCAAGCGTCATCAGAGAGCTCATACAGGAGAAAAACCGTTCAAGTGCTCGCATTGTGGCCGTGAGTATGCGCGAAGCGATGTGCTCATGCGACATATCAGGAATCACCATTCGGAATCTGAAAAGCAGACTGTTTCGACTTCACCAGTAACCAGTTCGCAGATGCATGGCACCGAGGCAGTGGAGGGATCCGCAGGCCAGTCTTCTGATTTGCGTCGAGATACTCTACCGGTGAATTCGATGCCGACGCCATACTTGGACGATGGCAATCCAGCGACCCTACCAGACTGCCACAGGGGGAGTCTGGCAATCATTCAGGATCAATCCAATTTCCAGGCTTCGCAGCGCGTCAAGCCCTTGGTCGTTTCCGATAATCCTGTGGATCGACGAGCGGCAGCTCCGCTTGAAGAATTTGAAGACTGGCTGGGACCTCAAGATCTGCCTTTGGCCGCCAATATATGGGATGACTTGTCACATTTCGATTTCATGAGCTTTACGAACGATGCACGGCTTAGCCTCTCTCCCTGCCGCCCTCGCCAAATGCTCCATTCTCCGCCCAAGGACAATATATCCGATGAAAGATATGCCAAGATAGCAAGCCTGTGGCCGACGAAGAAGCAGACACCTCGACGTTTGATCGAGACTCTCTGGCGTGATGTCGCTTCTTTTCGGGAGGACAACATATTCTCCCAGCCGGTCGAGACGGACGTCGATGGGAGTGCATCATCGCAGACTTTCCCAGACGAGGTCGCGGAGTCGAGATGGGGCCTGGACGAAGAATGCAGAGCGAGATTGATGGAAGACTGCGCCTCGGTGAACATTTCATTTAGGCAAAAGGCAAGCAGAGGTGTTGAAACGAGCATCAAAAGCAACGCGAGCAACTCGCTGAGTCAAGCCCACCGCGTCCCTGCCAAGTTTCCATCTTCTCAGATTCTGGATATCAGCCTTGACATCTTCTTTCGTCGCTTCCACCACTTCATGCCATTCATTCACGAACCAACATTCTCCGCGAAGAAAACCTCGAGCACCCTCCTGTTTCCCATGTGCCTGATGGGTTTGACAATGCTGGACTCCGTTCGTGCGAAGAGATTCGTGGGCTCGCATCTGGGCGACGCAATCGAGAGATGTAGACGCGACCTGGTGGTGAGCTCGCGGAAAGGAGGCCAGCTGAGTGAATTATTGAGCGCAATGGCAGCTTCGACCCTATTGCTAGCCCTTGCTGCGATCAATCCCAAGCAGCCACTTGCTGAAAGTTCTCGACTACTTTACAATGAGACAATAAATGCTGCCCAACGACAAGGACTGTTTGTCCCCCAAGAAGGCGAGCAGCTGTCCTCAGTCATATTTCAGTCCTTGGACAATGTTGAAATGTGGAGGGCTTGGACGCGGATTGAATCGGCCAAACGATTGATTCTATGCCTCATCATGTCAGACTCGTTCTTCTCAGCCCTGGATGATCACCATCCCATCATACAGACCGAGCAGCTGCATTTCTATTTTCCTTGCAAGACAGAATTGTTCCAAGCCGCCACCGAAAGACGATGGTCTCAGATGGTCTCCACTGGTGCGTTGACAATCATGCCTTTGATGATTCCGCAACTGGAGTCTGCCATTCTTCCCCCTGCTTCCGATGCAAGTGCAATAGGCTTCTTTGGTCTTTTTTCGACCATTTGGGTTCGAATGTAAGTCTCGCCGGTTTTTTTGGGGGGGGGGGGGTTCAAAATCAAATTCTCGCAAACTGTGGTTCGAGAGCTTTTTGACCAACGTTGCTAACTTGATTCTTTTTGCAGTGTGGAAGCAAAACATCGATATGCTCTTCTCACTTCCGAACATGCAAATCTCCCGATTCCTGCCGAGATCTTCGCTCACGATGAACACGCTGTCTCGATTGCCCCGTTTCTGATGAAGATGTGGAGGTGGTACGGTGAGACCATGTGCACAATCAACCCCAATTGCGAAGCTTTCTGGCACCATTTGAACATTTCGATGACGGCTGATCTTGGAGTATTTGAACTTGCTTCCGGAAGGGAAGGGGCCGAAAGAGCAAAAAATGCACTAGATGATATTGCGACTTGGTCTCAGACTGCTGCTGCTCGACGAGCGTGTCTTCATGCAGCACAGACCTTCTCATGCATGTCGAAACGACGGCCCATTGATGGAACATCCTATGAAGCTGAGATCGCTCTGGTTCATGCTGCCTTAGTGCTCGGTCTTTATGTCTTTGTGATGCCCCAGCCGGACGAAACAGAGGACCAAGATCCGCAAGCGCAGGGTCGACTCGAGGTGCTTGAGCTTCTGGACGAAGTGGATTGGAATCTCGTGGGCGAAGTCGGCTTTACCAGCTACTCCCCTACGAACGCCGACATTGACATGGGCATAGACTCGACCTTGTGCGCGGCAAAAGGGTTCATTGAGAACGGTGGGCCGATCTCCTTCTCTGGCGTCGTCCAGACCGGCGGCTACGCCTCTGCCAGGAGGGTGCTTCTCGACTATGTCTACCTGTTAGAAGATGTGGGCACGCGCTACAATGTGATGGAGTTCTGTCACATCTTGCGCATTTTGAGTGATGCGCTTATAGATTTGGACTCTGGAGGTGCTGACTAGGAGCGAGCACGTATTACCTAACAGTGGTGGAGTGTACTAGGTAACCGTCAGTCCGTATGGTGGAAGCGGGCTGAATGCTTAAGTCCCTGCTGAAGGCCAGACTAGTCTAAGAAAACAACATGATACTGTGTACGTACAGAGCAATCAAACATCCAGGTGCGTATTAGGTAGATGATTTTATACTCGACCTCGACAGGTCTCTACCTAATGAGTACAGAGTAGGTAGTCCGCCACCCAAAAGCGCAACACCCTGTAAATACAATACCAAATACGAGGCTGAGCGCTCTGTATACTCTGTCGTTTACACTGAAGACGGTCATGAACGCTGCCATTAGGTCGGTGGCAACGTTGTTCCTGACGTTTGTCGCCTGCCTAGCCCTCTGGGTAAGTCTCTAGGTAGGCCTCGCAGCCACCGCAGTCGCCGGCGCCTCTACCTCCAGAACCTCTAGTACTGACGCTGATGGAGCGCCAAGGTGGGCGCCTTTGACTTGGACAGTGGCTGTAAGGGATATCTGGTCTATACAGGCACCATTCAACTTGGTTGTTTTCGGCACCAGGATATCAACAGATGGAGCCATGATGATTAATGGGAGCTATCTAACGGTAAAGTTCTAGGCATATGGGCCTGGCCTTTTTGAACCTGTTTACTTCATCATTGGCAAGCCAAGAGAGGTCTCGTACTGATCTCCAGAATTGCTGTCACATGGAGATCTGTTGGTGTGGCGGCGAATTGGGGATCAATGTCACGAGCTTTCGGCTATTGAATAGCCGCTGGCAAAGGGCAATACCGGCAAAGTGTGAGAAGCAAGGCAAAAACACCGGGAATCAATCGGTTCACCCAGGATTTTGGACTATTGGGACTTTGCGCCTAGCCTGAGAGCCTCTTGATAACTGCAACGAACATCAGGTAACAATTCGTATGTGCTCCTCTAGATTGCAGAAGGCTGTATCACTGAAGCAAGGTTCTTTAGCGGTGCAGGGCCTTCACGTAGATGGTGGCGCCTTTGGTCGGAAATGGGGAGGAGATTACTTATAATGAAATACATTTACCTATCGTCATCGGGCATATTTGTCCTCTTTTTTTCTCACTGTCGAGGTGGAATACAACTTTTTTGGTGTGTTTCTCTATGCTTTACCGAGGAGTTCAAGGGCTTCACGGAAGTCACCGAGAAAATGCCAATAAAGCTTCGCACGCCACCCATTCTTCTTCCAGTTGTTTGCAGCTTGTGGGAATAAATCAACCATCCCGTCAAGTAAGCTGGTGTCATGGGCGTAAAGAAATAGCACATTCTCGTTCGCATCCGCTTCCTGCACCTTTCCGATAGTGCGAATCGCCTCCGGGATGTCTGACCCAAGACGGGGGTCAAAAAAGGATTGATCGGCCTCTCGAGATCTGCTTGTCAGAAGTTCTTCTAATACAGCCCCAGGACAAACTTGACGCAGGAATGTGGGTAGGATCTCTGGCGCTATTTCGTTCGGTAGTGGCTTATACTTGGAAGGCCGTACCTCGCCAGCATGGTGACAGAGGTCGCCCCCCATGAAGATGAAGGTATCTGGGTTCTTGGTGGTTCGAACGAGGCCACTCAAGTGACCTACAGAATGCCCCGGCGTATCAAGAAGGTAGAAGGAGCCGTCTCCAAAAAAGTCGTACGCTCTCAGGTTTCCGAACACCAAGCTTTCGTCGAAGGATATTTCTCTTACTTTCCGGCCTCTTGCTCTGGCTTAGCAAAATTTGATAAATCATATCTAGAAAATGGAACAATCGCACTTAATATCAGCGTCCCTCAAGAACGAAGTTTCGTTCGTAGGCCAACCCGGTAAGTATTCCTCGACAAATCCTGGTCCGACCACAAGCTCAGTCGAGGGTGGAAAAGTAGTTGGATCGCCTATATGATCCCAATGGTGATGACTTCGGGCCTCAATCGTTAGTGCCAAGTGTCCGAGGGATTGCAAGATCGATTCTCTTCCAGTGCACGAACCTCCAGATGATACTGTTAATGGACTCTCTGGGAACACCAGCATCCTCAATAATGTCCGCGACGCTTCGATCTGCCGTGATATGCCATCCATTTGTGGTTATTCGGCGAGACACCACAGGAGCATATTGTCTCCAGTCGACCGCGATACCAAGGTCGAAAAGCACTCGGGTCCCAGATGGATTCTCAATCAAGAAAGACCAAGAAGGATGCGTAGGCATTTTTGAGAACCCTTTCATTGGTGGCTTCATCAAATAGTCCACAGACGAATTAGCAATTCGCGAAGTTGTGTCAATAATTTTCACTGTAGCAATTTCCCCGGTAGGGACGCTGAACAAGTGATTCCAACAAGTCATCTTGCGGACCGGGCAGTGAACGTCAATGGGTCTGATTATGCCCAAAATTGTCGGACGAGTCAGAAAAGGGGGGGAAATGTGGTGGGAAGGAGTCGAGGCTTTACTTTGTTTAATAAAGGACCGTCTCCACCATGAACAGCTGGCTCCCAATACAGTGTCGAGGGTTCATCAATTTTCTTCTGGCGACAATTTCAGGAAAGAGAAAGAAAGCGAATCTTGTTCGCAGGTTTGATTTGAACGGAAGACCAGCCATTTATCCGTGGTGCTGTGGTTAAGCGGTACAGCTTAGAACAAAGGGCGCTGCAAGCTAGGGCAAAGTCTATCACAGCGTTCAACTTCATACGGTTACACCCAAAAATCGAGAGATAAGGAGTGACTGTGGAGAGAGAGTGGCGCTTCCGGCGGAGTCCAGCGTCGAATGTTTTGATCGCCGGAGCTGCGAAAGGTTACCAATCACGAATTTGTCATCCTTGAATGGGCTGCAATCACAGAGACGGTCCAACTCGGGTGGTTGAAGTTGAGCACTGTCAAGAAAACGGGAAGATCCGTCACCCCGGTTGTTCATGAACAATGACTTCAACCTGACGGCTCCGAAACATGAGTCGCAGGATGGAACGTAGCGAACGGCACGAACCGTTGACGACCGGGTCTTACAGCTCATAGACAGCAAAGACTCCGGGTTCGATAATTAGCCGTGGCTTAACAACCGCCTCCTGTAAATATCTAACCCTTCGTTGCCCCAATCTTCCTATGTAATGCCGTTACGTCTAGGGATCGGCGAGGCGTGCGGCCGGCTATACGACAATACAGTGAGTAAGTGCGGAAACTTGTTCGGCACTTTTCAACTTTCTTTGCCTCTATTAGCCGTTGTGAGCTTTGGCCTATTGGCTGTCAATATGGCCGAAATAGCCCCAGATTCGCCGGATTAAATCCAGATCCAATCTGGTGTTTAATAATACATACCATGCGTTGTCAACCAAAAAGGGGCAAGCTCGCTCTTGAGGCAACAAATATCGCGATGATGCAGACCACCAGTCATGCACGATTTGCCCTGGGAGTACCTTCGCACATGCAACGACGACGACCGAGATTTAATTCGACGACGTTTCGCAAAGGAGATCCAGGCAAGAAGTTCGAGTGTCTTTGATGGACGAAAAAGTTTGTGATAACTTGATTGATTGACTAGAGGAATGAAATCTATCTGGACCCTTTGTGTGAAGAATTCTATAATGCACGTGATCGGCAAACCTACCCTTCATGGTTAAGGCTGATCCAACTAAAAGGGGTCTGTGAGCCTTAAAGAGGAGCACGGCCTTTAATGCAACATCCGTCGAAGCGGTCTTCTGGAGCTACTGGTATTGAAACCATATTGGCGACTCGTCAACATTGGAAGCGTCCACTGCCTTGATCGTTAAGCCCGGTTTGAAAATTGTGTTTATCACAGGATATCAGGCAAATCTAGGGCATCTGTTCCTAATAGCGATTTTACAGGCGGAGAGATACGAGAGCTAGATTTCAATGCTGGGGGCATCGTAAATGTTGGGAAATTCGACGCCATCGACTACTTTGGAGATGGCTCCTTTTATATCCCCAGATGCGCTGGGTCATACTCAGGTCCACCTATGCGCTGTGGCTCACGTGACAGTGTCTCCCCCATCCTTCATCATAATGAGTGCAGACAGTTGTCACGATTCAGGCGAATTACGGCCATCAAAGTGAATTCTTCGATCGGATGATCGGACACCTTGCCCGAGAACATTGTTTAAATCTCTCCTTCGCGATAGAGTCCGAACAAAACCGTTTTACGGCCGAAAACCTCCCGGTCTAATATTTATGCCCTAGATACGGATTAAACTATCGAAAGATATAGAAATAAAGTAGACGACGTATTTATTAGTTATTATTGTTATTATTATTATTATTATTATTATTGTTGTTGTTGTTGTTGTTGTTGTTGTTGTTGTTGTTGTTGTTGTTGTTGTTGTTGTTGTTGTTGTTGTTGTTGTTGTTGTTACTGCTGCTGCTGCTGCTTACGACGTTTATATACTTAGGGTTGTCGACGTATTTCCGAAGTTCGTGAATAATTCCTCAGCTGAAGGTTAGGTCTCGAAAGCGCGGTGGAAGTTTTTACAAGACATTCGAAAAGCTTTAGAGTAAGCTTAAGGTGGTTGGATATGCCGGAATAGCACCACGATAACCGTCGTCGCTATATTTGGTAGATCTCCTTTTGTGTTTGAATATATAGCCTGACTGAATAAGAATTAGAATAGATACATCACTTGTTGACAAGCTACATAGGCTCCGTCTTCATTCTAAAGGATGGAAATAAATTGTGACTCGTGGTCGAATCACGGCTTTCTGGCTGCCGGTCGTACGGACGGCTGTCGTCAGCAGCCTCTAACCTTGTCTGGTCTCAGATTTAAGCCGTCTTTTGGCTTCACAGTGATCACGATCGCAGGCTCTATTTTCTTATTTTGATCAGCCAGTATCCATTCATACATGCCGACAAAAGCAGCCACCACCGCCCTCAACTCGGCCTTTGCAAATTGCTGGCCAATGCAACTGCGGGGCTCGACAAGAAGGACCCCAAAGCGCAGGAAAGTTGTTGGTAACCCAGGGTGCCAATGTAAGCACGGTACCCGCAGCGATGGGATAGGCCAGTAGCGTATTGTCTTTCGTGCTTTGATGCAAGGTTGACGGACGGAGCGTCTCAAGACCAACGCCACCCAGAAGTGGCAGAGATTCGAGAATCGCAGCAACGTCGGAATAGGACTTCTGCCAGGACTAAAGCCACTTGGCAGCGCCGCAAGAATTTCTGCACGGAGGCGCGATTGAATGTCTGGATGAAGAATGCAGAGGTAAGTGATCCACGTAAAGGATGTTGAGGTGATTTCGTGGCTACCGAGAATATAAAAATTCTGCTAATGCTTGTGACAGCGGAAACGGAGATATAACTTCCGCGGGAGCAAGGATTTTCAGAAGCTGATCAACAAGTTCATTGTCAGAGAAAACGTCTGTCTTGCTCAGCGACGCCAGGATATCGACCGATACATCGTCTAATCGCTTTATGCGCTCTCTTTTTTCCCGTACAAAACTCCTGCAAAGATACCGGATTCCCTGCACGGCGTCGAAAATAACACGAAAAGCCGATGGTAAAAAGGAACCTTGTCAGCAGCTACCCAAATAGTATGAGCGATGCAGCCACCATGCGTGTTCCTAATGAAAGCGTAAACAAATCCGCGTAGAGCCCGGCGATTTTGTCGTCAGGCTTCTCTAGCGTATTGAAATCTTGACTCAAGACTGCAACACCTATAATGTCCAGAGTAGCTGTCGCTGACCATCGGTCAACGTCCGTGAGCCCAATCAGCTTGCCTTCAGCATTTGCTGAAGACGCCCGTTGACCAAGACTTCATCGCCAATCACTTTTGTCATCTTCATGGCCTTGTTCCAGAACAGGGGATAGAGGTCTTTTATCTGCTAAAAACTGAAACTTGGCATGACATGCTTTCCCTGGTGCTTGTGGTACTCGCCTTCAGCGACAACCATTCCATCACCGAGGCTGGTGCGCAGAAATTCTCTGATCTTCTCCGGCTTCGGGAACTCATAAGGCTTAGTGACCAAAACTTCAGCCAGTACTTTGAGCTAATAGCCGGTTGGAGTTGGATAAGCCTCGGAGCCGAATGAGACCGTTGTTTGGAGTTTCTAAGCTGTACCTCAGGAGTTCTTCCCCTCAGTTAGTTTTCAGTCCAGTAAGAGAGTGGCCCAGAAGTGGAAGGGCTCCCTAGGTTTGTAATACTTTCGTTCGAGGCGCAAAAGCATCATCAGGCGGTCTGCAGCGTCCTTAGGAGTAGGAAGGTGCCGAATAGGGCTGACAATTCGGATATATGAAAACAACATAGATGGTGCGTGCGAAGACGTTCAGCACAAAAAATACCAATGTAAAAAGGCAAAGCAGCTGCGCTGGAATGGTATGGGGTGTAGCAGGAAGGAGAGTTGTCTAGTCACATATCAAACTAAAAAGGGCTAAGGGGGAGTGCTGAACAGTTCGCGTTGCTGGCAATGCCATTCCTTACAGGTTGACAGCGTATTCCATGTTTTTAACGCTGTCTACCTATTCCTGAGTGTATCATCTTCACTTTCCAACTCCTCAATGCCGCTGCCGTGCTAGGTGCTCGCTGCTCTGGCCGCTGCCTCTGTGGGGGTGGCGTTGGTGGTGGTGATGGTGTTGGTGGTGCCCTGTCAGTGTCAACCAGAAACGCGTTCTCGATTTCCAGCCTGCTGGACAGGCCCCTAGGCGTTGTAGCCCGTGCATGCCGAACCCTGAAAGCGCTCTGTTACACCCGCTTGAGAAATTTCCTGCTCCTGAACTTCGTTGCAATATTTAGCTTTGAGTTTAAGTAAAGTATTCTCGCCATCGTGCGCGCAGCCACAAACCACGCTACAGACAGGATCCATATGCGACGAGTCTAATGGAAGCGGGGTGAAATACTTTAATCGTATTTGGGACCTTGAAAAAAGGACATGCTGCACACTAAACATTCGGGGCCTAGATCGCTAGTACGGACAACGGTTAATAAAGAACTGCAGCTCAAGCAAAAGAGCTTGAAGCTTCTAGATGAGTACGTCAAGGCGTGATAAATACTAGATTTTTCACTGTGTATTATAAGACGTACAAGCTTGTCGAAGGATCAATTGCTTGTTGGACATGAAGACATGTAACTTAGATTACCGGCTATTTGAAGTTGAAAATGCTGACTTCAGAGCATTTATTTAACTTGGCATACATGCAGCATTTGTGGGGTCCGAAGACGGTTTAACAGATATCTTTCCAGTGTTACAAACAGGTGTGAAAGCCTGGGTAAGGTGACTCAATGGATGCTGCCTTAGTCGACAACCTAACCGCCGGAGCTAGCCATCGACGAAGCGCTCTGCTTTATCTATTATAGTAAGAACTTCAAGTTGCATTTTTGGGATTCGGACACTTAGATGTTGGGGTCTCGTCCAGTCAGTGGCTGTGCACGGGGATTGAAAACGACTTAGTTCCCAATGTGCATGGTCCGCACACGTTACAGTGGTCGCAACGTAGCCAGTATTATGAGGACACCAAATTTGGCCCGCGGGCTTTGTATAGAAGTGGGTGTGCTGTCACAAATATCAACCTCACTCAGACTTGTGTGTCTTCTGGGACTCTGCGATCTCATCCATCTCTCTTAATTCCAAGTACTTCTTACGATGAGGCCTTTCCTCTTCTTTCTACCTAGTTTTGGCGGCGCTTTGGAGGTCGGTCGCTCGAACGTAGAAATTGAGAAGGCGAAGCTCTGGACAAGGTGTTCTATGCCGGTGAGGTCTGTCTGCCGTCCTCGGGGTTCAAATTAGCAAGGATGAAATAAGAGGTACAACTGAGAATCGTTGGTTGCGATCCTCCTTTCAACGATTGTTTTCTAGAGAATGAGAAGCTGAGAACTATCAAGTTGGTGGAGAGCATTGATTTATTGTCGGAGGTGTCTGTCCATCTGTCCTTTCTGCGGGTTCCTTCCTGTTTATGTGGACATTGGCAGGTGTCAAGAGAGCCATTCCTGAAAATTTCCTGACGACGCGATCCATGGAGAGGCCATCCTGCTGTAAATAGCGCTGTCGATCAAACGGCTTGTCAACCATATCTAATACTCAATCCGTCTCACAAAATTCCAGAATCATTGCAGCTACTGCTCATTGATACAGCTGATAAAGCCCATCTGACGGAGTTGGCAACCATCCCGAGAGTCATCCGCAAAAGTCTTCCCAATATCCAGGTGCTGGAGTTACAGACGCACGACCAGTATTCCCTCGGAGAGGTTGCCAGTACTCTTCGAGGCTCTAGTTTCGTCCTACAATCGGCTGCATGTTGGAACGATTCTTGGAACTGTCACGTCGCAACTGCGAAATCAGAACGCCAGTCTTATTACTAATGAGTTGGTATCGATGAGGTAAAGGTCTTCCTGGTAGACCTTATGAGAGGGCAGCTGGATAGTTGGTCCTGAAACTGTCATCTATTTTCTCTATGGACCGACCGATCACGTCTCTTTTACCATCAATCCGGATGGTCACCTTGTCGTCCGTGTTTGACGGCTTTCAACAATGTGCCTTGTAACGGGTCAGAAAAAATGATGAAATTCGAGTCATATCTTGCACTATGATCGACATTTGCTACGCGATAGACAGGTCAAACGGGTGCGAACTTCAGTGGTGACAGTATTGGATGTTCGTGAGACATGCTCGAGTTGAATGATGAACAGTCTACGAGGGGATACCTATGGAAGACAGGCAAAACACGGGTACGAGGGTAGACATTCAATGGGCTCGGTTGAGCAGGACTCTCAGACAAAGGAGTACGTATCGGCCAGCTAACTGCCTTACATTACCATAGCTAGTCCTTCCGCGTTCTGGTGTGCTCCATCACAAGAATAACCACTCAGCTCCACCGAGCGCCTCCGCCTGTCCCACTACCTAGGTAGCAGCAACGGGTGCTTTTCAAGTCTCTTCGTCGTAGTTGGTGACTTTGCTGTGATGAAGGTGATGCCATGCGACTGGGATATTGAGCTCAAAGGAACAAATATGTCTGGCGTGGAGTCTTTACCAAAGGACCATCTGTCGTACTATGGCTTTCCGTCGCAGTACTAATCTTAACTTCAATATATGGCCGCGTACCCTCAGAGCCTCACATCGACTACGCTGAGTTAAGTATGCCAATTCTCCCTATGCAGGGTTGTGCGGAAAGCCTGGAAAGCGTAAACTTATTGTGCTGAAACCTCGGCCACGCCATCCCTTAAAATCCAGCCGACCCCATGCTATACCCCGTGGGGAACTCTCGGTAAAATCAGTTAGCCCTTGTAGACTTTGACGATTAGTTAGGTCAGCATGGTAAAGAGCTTCTATTTGCCGAGATGTACTCTAGCATCACTTGTATTAGTGGTGCCCGGCTAGTTACCACATAATCAGCTCAAGGTGCCGTTGACAATTCACCGAATGGCTATGTTTGTTAGCCGAACCAGCGCTCATTTGTTCAACAAGCTAATAGGTCTGGGTCGTGAGCACCAGGATCGTGGCAGACCGCAACTACTTAAACGACCTGCCCAAGCATTTACCCACGTCATTCGATTTGGAATCACCGAAGTTCGTCTGCTTTGAGAAACACCACCTCCATTGACAAGATGGCTTTCAGAGATCCGAAACCCCTTATAACCGAGCTTGATCATATCGAGATCGGATGCGAGAATCTAGATGCATCCGTCGACAGCGGTGTCGCGCTTCTGGATCCAGATGAAGAGCGCAGAATTCTGTGGAAAATTGACAGGCGCCTAGTGACTCTTACCGGCCTAGGATACTGTGTTTGTCTTTTGGATCGGGGCAACCTCTCCGCCGCTTCAATCGCAGGGTGAGTGTTTAGCCTCTTTGAAAGATGAAATACAAAGGAGAATTGCTGAGCGAGATTTAGCATGACCACCGACCTGGGACTACAGGATAATAATCGCTACGTGCGCGGCCATAACCTTTGGCGTCAAGGAAAAGGTGGCTGACGTTGGCAGAGCATTATCCTCCTGGTGTTTTTTATCCCATATGTTCTTTTCCAGCCACCAATGACTCTTCTCACTCGCAAAGTTGGCGCTAGAATGTTTCTCTCCACTATTTCCTTGTTGTGGGCTGGACTTCTAGTGGTAGCTATTCACCCTACCCCTGAACGTTTATACTTTGACTAACCACCAACCTAGGGAATGGGATTTGTGAAGAGATGGGACGAGCTTGCGGGTTGCCGAGTCATCCTGGGAGCCCTTGAAGCGGGATATTTCCCTGGTTGCGTTTATCTGCTGACTTGCTGGTACTGTCGGTGTGAGTAAAGGCTAGTCCGAGCCTGATATGGATTCAGGTCGCTGATACAAAGAACAAGTCGAAATCCAGAGGAGAGTGGCTGTATTTTACCTCTTCGGATGCCTTTCCTCCGCCGCTGGGGGCATTCTCGCTTACGGACTCATGCAGTTGGGCGGAACTGCCGGCCTTGGAGGCTGGCGTTGGATCTTGATCGTGGAGGGTCTGGTACGAGGCATCCGGATCCCGTTCTTTCCATCGAAACCTGACAAATTGTTCAGATCACCGCAGTGATTGCTATTCTCAGCTACATCTTTCTTGTGGACTTTCCAGATTTAGCCTCGAGGTCGTGGAACTTCCTTACGGAGCGAGAGGCTGCGCATGTGATGTGGAGACTGCACAGAGACCGTGAAGATGCGGTACCTGATGCCTTCAGTCTAACAAAGTACCTGGAATATGCCAAGGACTTCAAGGTCTGGCTATTTGCCATGATTTTCTTGTGAGTAAGCAAATCCCTGGGCCAGAAGGGCATTGCCATTTGACTGAAGAAATAGGGTGACGAACGTGGTCAATTATTCCATTCTATACTTCCTGCCAATCATTCTCCGGGATGGCATGGGTTTCAGCACAGCCGCAGCTCAATGTCTTGTCACTCCTCCATATGCATTTACCGCCCTCTGGATGTACGCTACCGCTCATATTGCTGATCGTTACAAGATGAGAGCACCGGTCATCGTCTTCAACTGCGCTGCTTGCATCATAGGCCTCCCAATCATGAGTCTGGCAAAGACAAGTGGAGTCCGATATTTTGGCATCTTTCTCGTCACCGCCGGGTCCAACTCGAACACACCGGCTTCTGTGGCTTACCAAGCAAACAATATTCGTGGCGTGTGGAAGAGAGCTTTTTCAAGTGCCACACTCATTGCTTTCGGTGGTATTGGTGGCATTATCGCAAGCACCGCTTACCGGGCTCAAGATGCGCCCGGCTATCGTCCCGGAATTTGGACTTCCTTTTCGTGAGTTTCGCCTCTTAGACCTCCGCGTTAATGACTAACCTTATTATGAGACTCAATTGCCTAAACATTTGCATCGTTGGAATTCTGACAGTCTACTTCCGGCACTGCAATAGAAAGGCCGATGAGGGCAAAATGGTCCTTGAAGGTCTGCAGTCGTTCAGGTATACAATCTAAGCCTGTATTGCGACATGGACTGCTCTGCCCGCCCCACGACGCTCTGTTCCACTGAGACTCATTAGTAAACAGGCAGAAGTTTATGACGGAGTGAGGTGTGGCTAGATTGTCCAGATTGTTCTAAGCTCTTTTAACAGCTGTGTTGGACCGACCTATGAGAATGATAAACATATATTTGTCTTGGGTCCCAATAGATCGCAGGAGCTAGGTGGCGAGCCGGGTGACGAAAAAAAGTGGCACAACTGGGCGCCGTCAGACAACACCACTACTATAACTATAGATCTTTGAGATCAATTTCCACTTATTTTTTAGATAATGATTGACTATATTAATATCATTGAGCAGCCCAAGTCCTTAAGACATCGCAAAAGGGTCACAAAATTCCCCTCGCTGGCGCCATGCCTGGTGGAATTCAGGGGAGCAGGTCCGGCGGCAGTAGCTTCCAGTTTCAAGTCTGGGGGTTTTGAGAACTCTTTCTTTGTCCATGACCCACATGCGCTCGCTAATGGCTGCGCATGAACCCGTTGCTGCCCCGTTCAATGGACCTGGGAATGTCCCGGATAATCGGTGTACTCGATGCAGCGAATACTGATGATTCATAACATAAAAAGAGATGCTTGCATGACCTGACTTACAACGTGCTGTCGATAGTAACCTTCAGCTTGTAAATTGGCCCCTTCGCGTACCGTTTGAAAACACAAATCTGTCTCTGTCGAACCAGTCGGGGTCAGCAGGGTTATATTGCATGGTGTACTTCCACAGTGCAGCCCCGATAGCCGCCGTTCCAATAGCTGAACGCGGCATATAGTCCGTCTATAGAGTATCATGATCAGAATCATAGACGGGTATAACATTGACCACTCGCATTGGGACACAAGGAGTGGCGGAAAGCAGGCACTAACGCCCACCCTCCCGCCATCTACAGCACAGCGTAGGATTTTTGATGTCGCTTAAGAAATGAGACCGTTGAAATGCTGCCGGTCCCTTTTTAAAAGAGAGACTAAGTCGAGAAAATCCGTGGACCAGCAAGAGATAGGATTCAAAGCACTTTCTGTTAGGGTGGACATACCCCACAAATCTCCACGGCAGGCGCGAAGTCTTATTCTCGCGCTTGAACCCCATGGGGAAGTAGAGAGGCTATCAAGTGTGACCTACGTGGACGGAACTGGAAGTGTGATTGAGAGCCTTGCGTCTTCGGCGAGATGATTTGACTTTGATTGGTCTTTGTGGGAATTAGGTTACTTGGGGAGATAATGCACTCCGCACTCGGTACTCGGTACTGAGGTACCTCGTACCTAAGTCGTATTCGCTAGCTCCTATGCTGGTGCCTCATTCAGGGACAAACTCCAACGGTAGAAGCGGCAATAGCCGGGAGAGGGCGGACGAGTCTCCTCGGCTAAGGTCGACCTCCTAGCCTGGTGGCTTGGCGATAGCCTTGTGCGGGGTAGTCTTACACGGAGTCCCACGGTATGTCACGTCATCTGGCAGCAATGGTTTCGCATAGGCCCGTGATATGTTTATGACATGCGCGCTGCAATTGGATGAACAAATAAACCGTGGTCTTGTTCGGAGTACGCCCGGCTAATCTACCGGCGTCGAGGATGCGGGGAAGGGAAGGTAAAGGACTATAGATACATATAGAGAATGCACTCTGCTATATACCGTATGAGCCGACCTTCAAGAAAGCCGCACTGATAAAGGTATAAAGTTACGATTCTCTCCGCTCCGACCGGGCCTTCCATCCTACCCGCGTGCCTGCCCTCAATTAAGGACGATTCAGTGACACTGCAACACCCGTGAAACCCCACGTTTCGCTGCCCGCTAGCCATGGCGGCGGAGAAGAAAGTCTTCCTGATAGGACCAGGCCTGATTGGCACTGACTTGCTAGAGCTCCTCGTAGAAGCCGGTTACGAAGTCACCACCATGGTCCGCCGGGAGGCACACGCAGCACAAGTTAAAGAATTTGGCGCCAAAGTGGGTATGGGCACTCTGGACGACAAAGAGACTATCCGCAAATACACTGCCACGAATCCAATCGTCATCCACGCCGCTACAGCCGATCATTTGCCTTCTGTCGAGGCCGTGCTTGATGGCGTGCGCCAACGCGCCGAGCAAGGACTGGAGACGATCTACATCCACACCAGCGGAACGAGCGTGTTGGTGGATAATTCCAAAGGCATGTATAAATCCGACAAGATCTATTCGGACGAACGGCCCGAAGACATCGATAGCGTACCGGATACCGCGCCGCACCGCGAAATGGACCTCGCCATCATCGCGGCGCGTAGGGAACTAGGTACCAAGGCGAAGATTATCATCGTGCTTCCCTGCCTTGTATACGGGATCGGCAAGCGCTCGGGGAGGCTATCCATGCAGCTTCCGACCATGGTGCGGTTCGCGTTGAAGCACGGCTGGGCCCCGGTCATTGGCAAGGGCGTCTCGGTGCGAAGTAACATCCACGTTCAAGACTTGGTGCGCGGGTACATGGTCGTCTTGGACTGGATGCAGCACAGCAGCGCGGACGAAGTCCTTCAGAACCCTTACTTTTTCTGCAGCACCGGGCAAGATATGGCGTGGGGCGATGCTGCGGCCGAGATTGGAAGGCTCTTATACGAGGCGGGCAGAATTAAAGATCCAACGCCTCGACCTGTGCCGCCCGAGCTCTACGGTGACTTGTTCGGGGTGTACAGTCCGACCACGGTTGGAGCCAATTCCAGAAGTCGTGCCGATAGGCTGCGGAAGATGGGGTGGAGTCCGAGAGAAAAAGGGGTTTTGGAATCATTGCGGGAGGATGAGGTGCCAATTCTGTTGAATGAAACGGGTCCATTCAATGGGTACACGGGCCTTGCGTCCTCCGGGACACATGTGCTGAAAAGCTTGGAATAGTCGTGGAATAGTTGCAAGGGATAGAACAGTACCAGAGTGGATCGGGCGGGCGGAATATATATCATTGGCTGCTATTCGTTCAATATGTTCTCTTCACCGCATTTATCCACGTAAATAATGAAACGTGGCCCATATCCCTTGCTGGTCCTATCGGCACTGCTTGGACGCTGCTTCGCGCTCAACGCCACTACGTTTTCCGGGTACGACTTCCCTAGAAGCGCACGACGAACCACTGGGTCTACAGCGGCAATCACATGCCACTTGTCATTCGCATCAGTGGCTAGGCGCGGAAGGGTCAGAATATCGATAGGGATTTGAACCAGGCTGATTTTTGACAGACACACCGCAATCGAGAATGTCATTCCTTTCGGTTGCGCGGGAAGGTCGTGTACGTGATATTCATAGCGCCGACATCGAGTTATCTGGTTGATATCAATGAAGGCCGTCGTACCGTCCTCAAATTCGAGCTCCAACTCAAGGAATCTCTGCCGAAGGTCATTACATTGCTCACTGACAACCACTAGGGGAGGGCATTACCGATCGTTGAGCCGACAGCCTTGATGAAGATGCTGGATGCCAGACTCTTAACGGACGGCACCGACCGGGTCCGAGATCTCAGTACGAGGCGCACTATAGTAGTCTTGGTACTGTAACAGAGCGCTTCAGGGTTCGGCATGCACGGGCTACAACGCCTAGGGGCCTGTCCAGCAGGCTGGAAATCGAGAACGCGTTTCTGGTTGACACTGACAGGGCACCACCAACACCATCACCACCACCAACGCCACCCCCACAGAGGCAGCGGCCAGAGCAGCGAGCACCTAGCACGGCAGCGGCATTGAGGAGTTGGAAAGTGAAGATGATACACTCAGGAATAGGTAGACAGCGTTAAAAACATGGAATACTCTGTCAACCCGTAAAGAATGGCACACTGCCTGCACTGTGACTATCCAGCACTCCCCCTGGCAATAGCATAATCTTTTTCTGCATAAACAGAGCCAATGTGTTGTATAGAGTGAGAGTGGATCTATCTGATTGGTTGTGTCTCCGCCCCTGCCTACTTCAGAGAGACTCTGGCTATCTATATACTATTTGCCCTGTGGTAACAAGCCGTCCGCTGAATAGATCTGGACCTTGCCAGATCTGTCCTGGCCTCGTTATCGACCGACGGTGGCACCGAGGCTGTTATAGAGAGGCCTCGGTTGAAACATTGGTGGATTGGTTGGTTTGCCACAGTGGCGTTCTGCTGTCGACACAATGTTAGTCCTTTTTGGTTTGACATATGACCAGCCAAATCTCCTTCCTACTACCCCTATACCAACCAACACAGCCACTTTGCCTTGTTACAACATAGCCTGGGACAGTTTAAAGAATGATTGGGTCACCAGACTGGAGTCTATACGCAGAGAAAAAGATCATAAAATGATTTCTGTGCCATCTCGGTTCGTGGCTCTTGCTGGTGGATATTAAACTGGCCGAAAATTCACAAAATTCGCGGGCTGGGTAGTTTAAGAGGACACAGTTTCCACACGTCTTGTTAGTCCTAGGTCTATACATGAGGATGCGAGGCGGATCCGGCAATCACAAATTTAGCCGATAAGGAATTCGGGATAACCGGCACCGGCGCTACTGCCATCCAACTTGTTCCAGAACTCGCAAAGTGGGCGAAACATCTCTATGTGTTTCAACGGACACCTTCGTCAGTTGATGTCAGAGGACAAAACAAGACAGATGCAGACTGGTGGACACGAGAGATCCATGGCAGACCAGGGTGCCAGAAGCAAAGACGGATGAATTTCAGCGCCCGGGTGGATGATACGTGGAGGACAGGACCACTGCGGCAAAATTAAAAGCTTGGTACTCTGGCTGGTGCAAGCGACCATGTTTCATGATAAGTATTTACAAAGTTTCAATGCTCCCAATGTAACACTCATCGACAATGACGGCCGAGGAGTGGTTGGTCTCACGGAGAACAGTATTGTTTTTGACGGACAGGAGTATCCAGTGGATACCCTGGTCTTCAGTAGGAGTTACAAAGTTTCTTTAGACACCAGTCCTGGAGCACGTTTACATATTAAAGTGGTTGGCCCAAACTGTCAATTGCTCGATGATAAATGGGACCAGGGAATCGCAACTCTGCATGAAGTCCAATCAAATGGCTTCCCCAAACCTGTTTTGTCTGGGGCAGGGGCTCAAGCTGGAGCCACTCCTAACCAGACTACCATGGTCGATGAGTTGGCGCAGCATATTGCCTTCATGATTACCGAGGTCACTAAAGGGGTCAAAAAGGACGGCGATGATCCGAGGCCTGGCAACAAGTCCGCCTGCACTATTGAGCTAACCGTCGAGGCAGAGTCCGCTTGGACTAAGCGGATTGTGGCTGGCGCATCACCATTCATAGCTATGTCCAACTGTCCACCCAGCTATTTCAATGCCGAAGGCGAACTCTACAAAGTTGCGGCTCCTGGGCCGGAGGCCCTGGATACATTAACAAGAGGAAGTATGTGGGCAAAAGGACACGAGGATTGGTTGCGAGTAATCCAAGCCTGGAGAACTGGTGGCATCCGAAAGGATGTGAGAGTAGAGCTGCTCTAAGTGGTTGCTCCTTTCCTAGACGCACGCAAAGCTAATTGGGCAGCACTAAAACGTCAGCTGCTGTTGTAACCAGACGAGTCTTAGAGTTCGAAGGTCGATTGCAGCTGTTTACCTTAACCAATAGTTACGCCGATATGAGACTCCTTGAAGGCTCGCTTTTTATAGCACTATTTGGCATACACTCAACTGGAATAGGCAACAGAATAGGCACATTAACATCAGGAAAAGCACCAGCATAGTCAAGGTCTCCTGAGTTTCTCATGCCTGATCGATTGCAAAACTTCTCGCGTTCAGGAAAGCTGAATAAACTTCATATCTGGTTCTGCTGCAACCCAAGCAATCTTGTGGATAACACCTATACCAACTCGGTGTGCATATTTTCCCTCCCATCGTAGGACGAGGACATTTCGCATACATCCCGGCTCTACATTTTTTCCTTCTCCTTCGCTTTCGACCACGCTCCTTACGCTCTCCTCACCGTTGTCGTCGTTGTTTCCTCCTGTCATTAGTTCTGTATCATCGTCCATAGTATGTTTTGTTGGATTGTGTATGTGGCAAAAAGTTGGGCAAATGCAGCGGGACGGGACGGTTTGCTCGTGGTCTGGGCGACAACCAAGGGTCGACGCAGAGAGCAGGACGAATTCCCACTCAGATTTGGCATTCTCTAACATGTCGGTATCAAATCCAAGGAGTCCACCACATATCCACCCATCTTTCGTCACAACAAATGCCTGATAATTGGTACCTTCTCCTGATACTGAAGTTAGTGAAGGACTGGCTGGGCAAGGTTTTGCCTTTTTGTAGCAAAAGAATTGTAGTGGTGTGGTGAAGCTCCAGAAACGAAGCACGTTCAATTTGCCGGAGAAGACTTCCTTGCCCAACCAAGCCTGGTCGCGAATAGGAAGCGTCGGGTAAGCCTCACAATTCGACATCAACGAACCCATCGACTGCGTAGTACTGCCAGAGGGCATGATACACACGCACTCTTCAGATCCGCGCAGAAGTACAGGCCCATGGAGAACGACTGAGGCATACGGCAGGTAAAGGATGTCGCCTATCCATCCACTCCAGGACCAAGACGGGAAAAGGTTCGAATCGTCGTCATAGTTGTATCTGCGAATGCCCATTTGCAGATGATACCACAATAAAGCAGAAGTGGAAAGGCTGCTTTCCAGCGGAGAACCACAAATGAATTTGAGTCTCCAACGATGCAAAAAGAACGAGCATAGTCCAGCAAATGCATTCAAGATATCGGAGTCATAGCTCAACTTCTTCATAGAATATTCTTGCGCAAGCAAAGCGTAATATTCATCGAAGATTTCCGGATGACGACAATCCCTTGACATGGAGTAATTCAAGAGCGTGAGTTTCCCAAACCCATGCTGAATAGAAGCAAATTCGTTATACGAAATCGTGTGGCTTGCCCATGCATCTTCCCAGCGATCCTCCGACCACACTGTTTGTTTGCATTGAAAAAACACCTGTTGTCGCGAGAAATAGATGCATCTCTTAGACAAGAGTCGCTCCTGATAAGTCCAGGCGCGGGTATTGTGCAAGGATTTCAAAACAGAATCCTTGAAAGGCTCTCTTTTGGGCACGTAGATGCCGGAAGATACGGCATAGTCAGTCACCAGCCTTGTACCCGTCTCAACGCCACATAGGCCTTGTGCAGCATTACTGCTCGCAGCAGCGACGATAGTGGCTAGAGCGCCGCCGTAAATCGTTCCCATCTCGCGGATCTGCTTGTGCTTATGTATTGGGTCATCCTACACGATGCAAAGGGCATCAACCCAAAGGTACTTTTCTCCAATCGCAGCAACAACGTGCATAGCATCTCGGATAACCCGGGGTATTTGTTCCCAGCATCTTTGCAGTGCTCCCGGTACAAACAGCTCTTCTTTTCTTCCCAGCGTCAGCTGAAGCTGCGGAACATTGCCCCAGGCATAGCTGAGTGCAAGGTACCTGCACGAGTTGCCTGCATCGACAAGCATTTTTTGTTGGACATCAACAACTATGAAATCCATCTTGGCAGTAACTGTTTCGAGGAAGCCTGACGCGCAGTATCTTCCATGCTGGCCTTCGCAGAGATTTAGCCATCCGCGAAGGACATTCATGTCGACTTGGTCTATAGGGCATACTCGAATAGGGCAGTTGGCATGGGTCCCGATCTTTATTTGTGTCGTGCTGGGAGAAAAGAGGATCACATCACCCACACTGGTACTGTCATCGTCTGCCAGGGGTTTCGGAATTGGCGGATTGGAACATGCCAACGTTTGTGGCGACGACTCATCTACCTGTTGACATCTTGCCAACAAAAGTAAGGAACAAAGCGGGCATCGCCGTTCAGTCGCGTTTTGGGGTATAGATCGAGGGTTGCCATGATAAGGCCAAAGTTGATCGGCTATCTGTCCGCGTGTTCCACCAGTCTTAATGAATGTCGAGCAAGAATCACAGAGTGTACCCGGGTTGTACCAGAAATGAGTGAACACGATCGGCACTAAAAAGGCACTGTTAGTGTATCAGTATGTATTTCGGTAGTATAGACAGCCTACAATGAGCCAATAATTCAGCGCAACGGGAGCAATCTGGCCGTTCACAAGGCTCGGGATCGTCTCTAACAGGGCTTACGAGGCCGGCTTTGCCGTAGAGAGCCATCTGTTGTCTTCAGACCCCGAACGCCGGGAGCGTCTGATATACTTGAGAGAAAGGTGAAGAACGGTTGAGAGAGAGCTACCAGACGAAAATATGGAATGAAGACAGTGGATAACAGCTGGGAAATGATGTTCAATTATAAAAACTCGGCAGTATTCTTTGCTTCCTAGAACGACTCTCAATCTAACCACAGCTTATGCTCCAAGGAGAAAGGGACTAGGAGACCGAAAAAAGTATTTTCCTAGACTAGGAATACTGGATGAAGGGCGATTCTGACAACATTTTCTGTTCTGCATAGGTCTATGCTTATTGAAGGTCATTACGAAGCAAACCAAAGGTTTCCATGTTGGTCACTGATTGGATAGAAGAGCTAGGCTCACTAGGCTCCAATGCAGCATATCTGACAACTTTGACACTTGGCTGGTCCCTGTCTACTTGTGGTATGCCAATAAGATATCGCCACGTGCTTCGGGCGTTCTCCAAGTCTTGTCCCAGTCTTTGCCCTGTTACCGCTGACAACACATGGCTATTGGGAACGAAGAGGTTCTGGGTAGCCGTCGTTCAATTCGTAAGAAGACATGTCATAGCAAGTGTCTGGTACCCTGTGCTTCTCCGCCTGCAGGGAGACAAACCGATTCGAGACAGGGCTGTTTATTAAGAATTTCAAAGTACACTTTGTACCAGTGAGTCTCTCTTAATGAGGATCCGGGACCTTGCATTCACACGCAGCTCTATTGTCGGCCTTCTTAACTACATCAAGGACAATAAGCTGGACCTGCAGCGCACTAATTCCCTTCAGGGCAGCACTTGAAGGATGAGGCGACTCCAGGCCATTGGCTCGTTCCTTTGTTTCCAACATCGCAGATATCTGCGATAAGAACCATGCCGCCGTTGGATTTGAATGGGTCAGTGTGAACGCCCCCGCAATTGAAATCTCTGAATCAGGGGTATCAGGTACGGTAATAAGAGACGGTAGGAATTTTCATAGACATACAACGAGAGGACGCACCGATACCCTTTATCGAAACCCCTGTTCGCGAGATTGTCGTTGAAGTCTGAAAGATCGCCATTGAAGGTATCTAATAGCCATGCACCACGCTCGTTAATGTCTGTCATTATTTGGGACGTTGAGACAGTGATAACTCTCTCGGCAATTTCCATCTACCTTAGCCGGAAATTCTGTAAAGACTCCCACTTTGCCTAGCACAGCGACTGTAAACGCATTGGCGCCGAAGCGATTCGGGAAAATAGTCAAGAAGCCGAAGGAGAGATAGGACCTCATGGTATCGTTTGATGTCCTATGAGCGTTCTTGGCTATCTGGGTGACAGGAATTATCGAGAAAGCGACTTTGTTGGTGACAACCGCATCAATTGCCGCTGTGAAGAACTCCTTAAAAAAAACATAATCCAGACTTAAACTCATCGAGATTGCTGGCACGTTTCCTATCTAGACCCAGTGGGTAGAGAGACCCTTGATGGTGTAACCATTTCAAGAAATTCTTTAGACGACTCTCATTCGACAGTGGGTGTCTAGAGCATCTAGGCGCCTTACCTACTCATTTTGCAATCCGCAGAGGCAAGAAGGCTGGGATGCAGATGAGCACCGCGGTAATCAGTCACTCCGTATGTTTAAAATTAGGAAGATAACCTTTGCCTAGTGATTAATTAGCAGGAGCGGGCTCGAGAAAGGTCAGAGAAAGAATAGTAGAGAAACAAGAGGCGAAGCTTACAAAGCGATATTGCAACGAGGCTTTCGCAGCGCTGCGTAGTATTGCCATCTCAACTCTGGTAGTTTATCTCTTCTTCCCTAATCGCGGCGGCGCTGGTCTAAGTCTCATAGGCACAGATGCAAGCCGCACGATAGTTGAGACTTGGCAATGATATCTAATTCTGCCCCGAGACTTAATTGAGAGAACCGCTTGGAGCGTATACAACGAGGGGTCTTTGCTTTCTAAAAAGCTTCGGCCCCCTGCCAGGTTAGAAATGGTTGCTCGGGATATGAAGGAGGGAGACACAGATGAGGGTGGTCAAATCACATACATCATAAGGAAAGGAAGTCAGAGGTGAACTAATGAATAGAAGGGCCTTTCCGGCGCGATACTGCGATGGAATAGCTCCGTCTGTTCGCCGCTGCTTCCAAGCTCCCATTCATTGCGATCGTCAATGACGGCCAAGCGACGAGTGACATTTGCTGGAAGAGACTGTCTATATTTGATCATCTAGGATGCGGTGAAACTCCCGGATCACATCTTGGACGACCTGATTCTCAACCACACCTTCTTGCCACGAAAACCCCAGCGTCAGTCGTCCATCTCTGCCAGACACCGCACTGACCTTGATGGCTCCACTACTCGCGCCAGCACTCTGACTGAAAAGCAGGCTTTCGATCTGATAATCTTTGTCCGCTTGTAACGGGCTCAGATGTCCAACATTCGACAACTCCAAGGAAGTAGTCCTTCGTTGACCCATCTTCTCCTTCATCCAGATCTCGAAGTCTGCGATATGTGATAGCTTTTCAAGCAGGCCATCTCCTCTCTTCTCCTGCATGACCCGGTCAATCCTGTTCTTTATCCTTCTGGCTTCCTCCCACGCGAAAGGGGCTCGCTCGTGCGTCATGAAGAACGTGTCGACAAACACCCCCATCGAATCTGCATTGATGGGATTTGGGAGCCACTGGCGCAGAGAAACGGCGCAATCGGTTTTGATTGTTGTGTACTCAGGCGGTACATGTGTAAAAAGGGCTGCAACAAGCATGGCCTCCAAGGTTGCCGTCAAGGACACGCCATTGTGTTTACTGACCTGCAACAATCCCGTCGTCTCTTCTCGAGAAAGCCACAAGGATGTGATCTTAGTTTGTACAGGTAGGTATTGTACTGCACCTGACCATATATGCAATGACTGCTCTTGATTGTCCAAACCATTGCGCTCTGCCAATCCTCTCAAGGCCTCCAACGGTGGCAGGAGTGGCAAGTCGGGTGTGTCCACCACAGAGGCTGGCGCCCTTTCCAGTGAATCGTTAAGGGCAGTCTCGACAGCCTGGTGCAGCACAAGAGCACTCTTCGTATCTCCAATGCAATGATGGAAGAAGTAGCACAGTATGAACTCCGAAAAATTGCCTCGACTCTGGAGGACATGCATCCGCCACAGCGGTAATGACATATACTCCCACGCCTGGGTATGCTCATGCGCAAGAAGGGCATCCAGAGCAGGAAATCCTCCATGCTGATCAGCAAGCTCATCAAACTCGGTAAATGTAACAATTTTGTCCAGGTTGATGAATGGTAAACGAGCGAAGTATGGTACTCCTGAGTCAACTTCAATAGACGTAACTGAGAGAGTCGGATGTTTCGATATAACGGCAGCCAACGCAGCGAACAAAGCAGGTTTCAAAGTCTTACTGCTTCTGCATGCGTACCTCGCGGTTATCGCGACCCTTTGATAAACACCTATTCGACTTCGTTTGACCAGATACTTTTCCAGAACACCTACTCCAACGTTAGTATAGCTCATATTTCAGCCTGGGTACATACCCAAAGATCGAAGTGGCTTCAGCTCTGGCTTCTCTTGAGCCATACTTAGGTCTCCTCCTGTTGAGATCCGCTGAGAATCCTATCCCACAGTACGAAGTAAGCCAACCGTCAAGAAGATGAAGAGTTGTTGGGTGAGCGGATATAACCGCGGTCGATCATCCTCTCACAGCCTCGTCAACGTACTCTTCCGCGTTAAGATGAGGTAAATCAACACCCAGCTCGCCCCCTTCTGGGCTAGAGCTTGACTTTGGCGCCCACAAACAAACTCCATTCGCCGACTCACCACTCACCCCTCCTGCTCGTCACTCAATAGCAATTCTTTAATATTAGACTGGTACCTAATCACCAACAGATCTTACTTTACGATATTGGAAGGACTGCTTTTAGGTGGAGATTGTGCTCCGGGATTACATAAAACATGCCACAGAGGGCAGACGGTGTACATCACAAAGGCTATTGCTGTGTCAGGCGATATTCTCTTGAGTGAGAGGTGAGCATTATTTAAAAGCGGCGTAGGTTGGGTGAGCATCGGGTGTCGATTTACCTCGTACCAAGCTCGTACTTACCTCCCGAGGTTGTCATCCGTCGCCAAGATGGACCACATACCTGGCGAGTCGGTAGCTCGTAGGCTTGTAAGAGTCCTCCATACTCCACACCGCCCACCACAGCTCCCTCAGCACGAAGCTCAATCCCTCAACCCCTAAGCTCTCCATGAATCGTTTGCACCGCTGCGGGTACCGAGTCAAGGTAGCACAATGATCAAGCTGAAGTTACAATCACATTCCTTCCTCCAGCATGTTCACCTCCCGCCACCCCGAAGACCGGTTCCGCCTTCGCACGCA